TGTGATTTGAACATGTCGCATCGCGTGTGCGAGACTTTTCGTGGTGCACGTGATTATTCCTGAATGTAGATTTTTCTCTTAGCTTCATTTTACAATAAAAGCCCGTGTCAAAACGAGTTACAAAACTCCAGATATGATTAATTTACTAGATAGACGTCAAGATGTAAATTGTGCTGAAAATTCCTCGTTTCTTCATAATTTCTTCCCAATTTCTTTGTTCTGTTCTATTTCTTTGACTTCTTCATTTTATTCGTACTTCCTAATATTTAGCTCATATTTAACTTGAAATTTCATCGAATTCATCGCAAATACTCATAGAAACCATGTAATGACAAACTATCATCAAGTGACCCCTCTTTTAGTGTGGCTGAGGCCACTATATGTTGCATCCCATTTCCAGAGAATATTCCCAGCGATTATCAGTCCATCCATAATAAGTTTCTTCCTATTTGAAGAGACTTTCATAAGTTCAAATGTTGAAATGTCTCTTCATGGAGAGAGTCCAATGAAAGAAGCATTTCTAGACGATTGGTGAACTGAATTCCTAACTTGCTTCTGTCATAGAGTGCCTTCTTTAGCGTAAGAGGACGATGACATTTTTGGCGAAGAAGCAAGATGACTTGAAAACCCTTCTTAATAAGGTGCCTTTAGAAGCACGTGCATATGCTGAGAAGGGGGAATGTTTGAAGGGATTTCTCGAAAAATCCCTTAATTCCATAAAAGATCTTAAGAAAAAGGCATCATCTCCCAAGGATGAAGCACTGACCACTTCTAATTAGTACTTTGAGAGGGATAAGAAACATGTAGTATTCTTCCATCAGGACCTAAACTTAAGTCATATGGACCTGTTCAAGGTGATTTGGGATGCTAAACTAGTGGACAATGAGTATATCTCTTGGTGGTTCCTATGCACCTCGGTGTCCTTTTTGTAACCTCTATTTTCCATGGGTTTTTGTAGTTGCCTAATTTGTCCACCATTTCGGGATGATAGCATTTTATGTATAATATTGTTTTGGGTATCATTATTGGACTTTCTTGTTCATAACCTATTTATAGTTTCCATAAGGGTGATAATGATTTTGATGTAAGGATCTCAAATTTTAATCGCCTCCGAAGGAGGCGAGAATTCCTCAAAGGGATTCAGCATTTTATGATATCCTCGTAGAGCGGCAATGATTCCTCGTAGGGATCCAACATTTATGATCGCTTCAGAGGGCGACTATTATTCCTCACTGGGATGCAACATTTTATGATCGCCTTAGACGGTGGCTAGGATTCCTCGTATAGATATAGCAATTTTTATTGCCTCAGAGAGCAATAAGGATTCCTTGTAGGGATCCAACATTTTTTATCGCCTTAGATGGTGGTAAGGACTTCTCGTAGGAATCCACCATTTTACGATCACCTCAAATGGGCAACCAAGATTCCTCGTAAGGATCCATCATGTTTATTTTCCTTAAAGGAAAATAAGGATTCCTCCATGGTGATCCATTATATTTTAGCTACTCTGATGGGCAACTTTGTACATATTTTATTCTTTTAGTTTCCGGTAAAAGAGAAGAAGACCATGAAAAACAATTCAAGATAAAAACATGAGGAGTCTCGTTAAAAATCCTTGCCCCTACACGAGGCACAAGGGAAAATAGTGTTTCTCCATAAATATAGCTTGTTCTTATAAATGGCAAATGTATAATACTCACCTAAAACTAAAATAATAACAAACAAAACAAACAATGATAAAAAGAGTACTTATGGAGCTTTCAGTTAGGGTTTCATTCTCCCATCTTCTTGACCTTCTAAGAGGGAGCCTCTCACTACAAGAAATAGTGTTTTGCGATAGTTTTTTTTTGGGATTGCAGAGGTTTTGACTGTTACAAAATATGGATTGTGATAGTTCTTAAATTGTCACATAACTTAATGCATCGAGCTTGATTTGTGACAGTTTAAATAATTTTCGCTCCAACAGTCCAACCGTCATAATATATGACAATAGTTATTAAAATTCCCCGTAATTGACTATCGTTAAGTAAGTTGTGTTTAAACTCTTTAACTAAAAGCACACCTTTTATGATGATTGTGGATGGATTTCCCACAACACATTCTCCTGGAATTTTACCTTTTGTGTGGTCCTCATATGTGATGTGACCGCTTTCTTTATGGTTTAACTTTATAAACATCCAAGCGTCTTCATTCATGTCTATTGAGCATCCACTATATAAGAACCATAACCTTTTTCGCGGAGGCATAACTTTCATATAGACAATCAAATAGACAATTTAGATACCCAACTAGTGGGTCCTTTTGAGTTAGTTAAGGAGCAATTAGGTATTTATGCCATTACACCATTAGGAACTTGGACATTCATAATATAACGAGGCCCAATGTGACCTTTATAACCACAAAAATGACTTAGTCTTTAGATAAAATACTCTTATTTACCTTTCTATTTATTTTTTCGACTTCGCTTCGCTGTCCGCAAGTTTATTCAACTCATTCTCATGTTGAACAAGTTTCCAAAATAGATTTGTGATGTCCAAAGTATTAAGATCGTTAGATTCTTTTATGATGATAACCTTCAGTTGTCATTCCATGCACATAAACCTTATATTTTGTTACCACAATAGTTGTTAGAAACGAACTTTCCTAAGTTGTCTAGTTTGTTGATTAAGTGGAGAAAACAAGTTTGCATGGATTTGACAAATTCTTCAGGTTCCATGCGAAAAAGTTCAAACTCTTGTGATAACATGTTGACCTTAAAATCCTTAACGTCTCCAGCTCATTCTTAAAGGACTTGAAGAACCTTCCACATAACTTTTGCGCTCTTATGATGTGAAATTGAGTAAAATGGTTTTGCGCTTAAAGCAGAGACAAGTATATTCCTCTCTTTCAAATCATATGAAGCCCTTTTAGTTTCACCATTTCTCCAATCCTTTGAGTGTTTTAAAAATCATTGACTTATTTTTTTCGAGATAAAAGGCCTGTCGGAAATTGTTACCCATAAATTCTTGTCAACTGATAATAAATGTACGTACATGTTCTCTTTCTAACAAACATAATTTCCGCCTTTGAAAATTGGTGCTCTTTATACGCTCCCTCTGGATTGTCGTCACCCACATTCTAAATTTTTTGAGTCGTTTAGACTTGATAAAAAACCAACTCAGAGGCTAATTGTTGACTTAGAATATGGAGTAGTGAAAAATTCTAGGAGGGGGGGTGGGTGGGTTGATTAGACCCCATTAAAAATTAATCTAATTTTCAAAATTGTTCCTCAAGGTTTTCAAAATGAAATCCAGAGTTTGTGTTGCGGAAAGCGATTTGCGAAAATAGAGGCGTTATTCTTATCTTGGAAGGAATCACAAATGCAATTATACTATAATTCACAATTATCTTTAGATTGTTCAAAGATAATAACAAAAAGTTATAAACTATATTGAATTGATAAATTGTAAAGTTCCAGAAAAAATATTATTTTCAAAATTTAATTGATATAAGATTCTAACACCATAATTTGCAAATTTTAATTAATACTAAAACATAAATAGGTTCTGATTCTAACAGAATTGATATTTATGTAATTCATCGCCACCAATAAAAATTATCGGTAAAATATATTAGAAAACGATAAACTAAAAAAAATTAAGTAAATTAAAATTCGAGAGATATGATTAAAAATAAACTTAGTTCCACAAGCATGATTATATGCATTAAAAAATTATTTTGAAATAATGAATTTGATAGATTGTATTGTTGTCAATGAGTATGAGGAATTTTATTGTACAAAGTGATAAAAGGAGGCAGAATGTGAAAGAGAAAGAGAAATGGATTTATTTTAGAAAGAATGAATTTGATAAGATTTGTGTTGATTGATGAAAAACTTAAAAGAAAGTTTAGGTGATGAATTGAGAAGGAATATGAAAGAGAAAGAGATATGAAATTGATTTAAAAGAAATAATTTATTTATTAATTTTTTTAATAATTTAATTTTAGTCAAATGTGATCAAAGAGGCAAAATGTTAGGAAAAGTAAGAAAAACCTAACAAACATGTTAAAATAAATTATCATATCTTACATATTTTTGTTTTTATTTTATTTTAATAAATATATTTTATTGATTTAATCAATTGATTATTTTTTCAAATTTCATAAATGAGACTTAATTGAATTCTCACATTAAATGTTACATTTAATTAATATTTTTGTTTTATTTTGAATATAATAATTATATTATCATTATAATAAAAATTAGTTATAAATAAATTAAAAATTCAATTATGCCATCTAAAAATGACATTTAAATAAAAATAAAATTAAAAAAAAGAAAGGATCAATAAATTATGCCATCTAAAAAATTCAAAAGAAATTTTAAAATAGAAAAATTAAAACTTTAAAAAATAAAAACAAAAATATCAAAATTGTAACTAAGCCATTTTCATTTTTCTCAATATAGATAATTAATAGTAATTTTTTAATCATCTTTAATCAGGTTTACTACGGATTTTGAAAAATGATTATTCTCCCTAATTTGCGTGATTATGTTCCCTTAATGATTTTTCGTCGCGCCGAGTCTTTACGACTTATGAGCACTAGCATTACACAACAAACAAACACTGAATGAAAGTGTTATAGCATATCACGTTTCCCAAAGCGAAAGCTGTACCCGCGTGGCAGGTGATCATTTACACTATCGTGCTAGCAACTCACCACACTGCCTTGGATCACCGAGCATCTCACGGATCGGATCTCATTTCATCTCAGAATCAAAATCAAAATCAAAATCAAAATCGAACTCTTCCGATCACGACGCTTTTATTCGCTAGGGTTCTTCTTTTTCCTATTTTCTTCTCCTCTCCCTAATTTCCCGCTACTTTACATGGAGTTACGCGGCAGAATCGTCTTCGTCTTTCTTCTCGCTCAATTCCGAGAGTACGATTGAATTTCCACTGTTCGCCGCTCAGAACTTACGACTACAACTGCTCTGTTTTCTTTTTCCTTTGTGAAAAATGGCAGCTTCTCCGGTTAATTTCCTCTTTGGATTTTTGTTACTTTCCGTTACATTATGGCTACTTTTCATGTAAGTCCTCCATCAACTATCTATTTTTTTTTTTAAATTTTGTTTTTGCAATACATTTTTCTTACTGAATTTTAGCATATTAGTATTATTTTTTTGTAAAATTAAACTTCAAATGCTTGTAGTATATGTTTAGGTTGAAGTCAATTGGAACAGATGACTAGCTTGTGTGACTCTTGTATAATTGGCCACTGATATCAGTGGAAGAGTTTTGCACGTTTAGTTTGAAATGCATACTGAATACAGTTGATTGAGTAAGGGGCGAAGCAATCGGTTAGTTACGTAATCGGGGGGTGAGGTTGACCCGAAACTTCGGAGAAATGTAGAGGACATTGAGTTTCATTAAGAAAAATGAGTTATTGATTGAATAGTCTACACTCCCTCCAATCACAACATGGGGAACAATATTAAATTAGTCAAAGTCTTGCTCATTGAACTGCCATAGAAATTAAGACTAGACTAGATAGATGATACATCTTTATCGGGTACATGTAACAAACAAGTAGCCCCCCTTGGATAAATTATCAACATGCTATGATCTCAATAATTGAATATTAATCTGTTAAACTTTTTTTTTTCTTTCAATAAAAGCTTTCAACTGTGAGTGGGTCAAGCCTAATCACTCTATTCCTTTCACCAACTAGCCCAGGTTTAGAACTCATTTGATCTAGTGCAGTTTCTTGAAGTTGGTGTGAATAAATAGTGAGATGGGTGTCAAAGAACACCTTATAATGGAACATGATCTTGCATTTTGTTATCTATATCTTATTTTCAGATGTTTCTTTAGCTCAATGAGTGGATTTATTGTATGAGTAAATTATTTTTGAAAACTACGATGTTCGGGGAAGTAATGCAAATTATGTTTCATAATAAGCTTATTGTAAGAGTGCCTCTTAGATTTTAGGCCTAATCCAATCTAATAAAATGATTTTATTAGGTGATGATTGTCTAGGCTTTATAAGCTCTATCTAGGTCTTACCTCTAGGCAGAGTGATGCTTGGATTTTTCTTAACACATCTCTCGCGTCTAGGGCTATTAGGCCTAATGCGTGGATTATACGAGGGCCCCATAAATGGATGTGGATGTGCTCTAATACCATCTTAGTTTTTGGGTCTAACCTTTTTTTAGGACGATCAAAGTCCCTTCCAAGATCAAAGTTGTGTTTAGACTGTAGCTTTGAAGAGAATTAACAGTAAGTTTGAAATTATTTAGCATAAACATCCCTAGATTTACTAGACATATTATACATCCACCATGAGTGCTCAACACATCAAATAGAAAGCAACTAGCAAGTAAAGACTCTTTTTTTTTTGATAAGCAATAAATTTATTTTCAAAGAAGGGAAAAAATAGAAATCTGAGGGATATAAACTAAATTCTGGAAAATAAAATAGCAAAATTAAGAAAAAAAGGAAAATGAATTACCTAGTATTATGAGAGCTGGCCCAATCATAGAATGGGTATTATAAACAGCCAAACTCACTGTTTTTTAGAAAAACACATAACAAAAACATTGGGAGAAAGTGTTTGTGATCTTTCTATGAAACACTGTTTTCAATCTAATAATAGTTTTTAGCAAGTTTGGAGAACTTGATTAAAATAGGGCAGCTCGTTGCAGAGGGATTCCACCATTGTAGGGTTTGAAGAGACCTATATGTTTTTGACATCCGGGTCTGATGATAGCAGGGATAAACACTAGTGCATCTCCATGAGCTACAATCAAAGAGCGACTCTTAGAAAACTTCTGTCAAAGGCAGACATTGTTGCAGTTGACTTAAAGGAATTGATTAGCACTACCTCCACCCATTTCAATCCGATGCATATTCTTTTTGGGAGTCAAGAATATAAGAACTTCTTAGTTAAGCATGTTTGGTTTGAAAAACTTGTGGGACATGCGTGTGAGTAAGGGCAAAGCACACTGAAAAGACATGTCTTGGTTTTTGGGTGCTAGTCATTCTGCTAGCAATTATGAGCAAGGTTATCAAATTCGAGAGTCTAGGCAAACTTGTGTTCCCTATGTAAACCCTACTTATAGATTCAACTCGAAAATTCATTAGAGTTTACTAAATATTAAAATAACATATATAGATATAGATAATATAATACCATTTAAAATAATAATTCAACATTTCATCTTAATAGTAAAACAAATACTTTTAATAGATCAATATTTATAATAAACCAAAATGAAATGGCGAAATAAAAAGCTGAAATGGTAGAAAAATAAAAAACACACAAAGGCATAGTAGTTGTCCATCACATCAACACTAAAAATGTAAAGGTTTAAATGCACTTTTGGAGTTTTGGTCCCTTTATTTAAAAAAAAAAAATAAGTTTTGATCTTTTTATTTTAAAAATAAGTTTTAGTATTTCATGTGGTTTGGTTCTCCACCCCATTTTGGGGTCAATTTTACCGACGTGACAATATTTAGGTGGGACTAATCTATTATCAAATGTTAGCAAAATTGTCTCCAAAATATGACATATGTTAGAAATAATCAAGAGTGTAGATATTCTAACTTTAATTGTTAGTATTCCTAGACTATATAACTTTCTAGATTAATGCTTACTTATTAATCTTCAATGTATTAATTGTTAGACTACTATAAATACAAGTATTGTGATCTAACTAAAGACATAGAATTTTTAAATTCTATATGGTATCAAGTATTGTGATCTAACTAAAGACATAAATTTTTTAAATTCTATATGGTATCAGTAGTGGTTTCTAGGGCTGTTTTACGATTTTGTTCTTGAATGTGTATTCTGACCCACAACTCTCTTTTACACTTTCCACTATACTATACCCCTTATCCGGTGCGACCCACCATCGTGCAATACCACATATTGTTGCGCGATCCTCCGATAAGCACGACGATCATTATCTCGTCATTGTATTCCTCCCCACCCGCCGCCACCAAACAACGCGTGACTGCCTCTCCAGCCACCAACTTTCATCATTTTGGTGATTTTTCAGCAACCCTTCTCTCATCGGACGTATTGTCATGTCTGGTGCCGAATCTACTGCTACCTCTTCTTTCACTTTCAGTTTCACTACCGTCCCTCTGATTCCTAGTGAAAAATTGGTAAAGTTTTCTTCACTTGAACCTTGGATCCTTGACTGAGGGGCCTTTGATAATATGTCCGGTAACAAATTGTTTTTTTCATCTTTGACTTATATGCACACTCCCGAGTATTACTTTGGCTAATGGATCACAAAAAAAATACTCTGGCTAATGGATCACAAAAAAAATGTCACGGCATTGGCCAAATCAGTCCCATGGCTACACTTTCTTTGAAGTCTGTGCTTTATGTCCTTGGTTGTCCATTTAATTTAATATCCATCATTAAACTCACTTGTACCCTACCTTTCTCTGTTACATTTTTTAATGACCCCGTTCTTGTGCAAGATCGGAGGATTGGAAAGACGATTGGAGTTGGGCACGTGTCTCAAGGTTTATATTACATTTCAATATCGATAACACCTATTGCTTGTTTAGCCGTTGAGTTTCAACATGTTGTTCATCAACGTTTAGATCATCCAAGTCTTCAAAAGTTGCATCATATGGTTCCAAGTCTATCAAAAGGGCCTACCTTAGAGTGTGAGTCGTGTCAGTTCTGAAAACATAATATAAGTTTCTTTCTTGACAATCATTAAAAGTGTCACTTTCCTTTTGCTTTAGTTTATTTTGATATTGGAATCCTAGCCGTGTTGTTTCATGTTTGGGTTATAAGTATTTTGGCTTTTTTATTGATGACTTTTATAGATACATTTGAATATTTTTAATGAAAAATTACTATGAGGTTTTCTCATTCTTTCAAACTTTTTGCTCAGAAATAAACACACAATTTGGTACTCACAAATATTGTAAAGTGACAATGCTCGTGAATATTACGTCTTTTCAATCTCTTTTGATTTCACATGGCATCCTCCATGAGATCTCATGTGCTTATACTCTTCAACAAAATGATTTTGCTGAAAGAAAGAATCGACACTTAGTTTAAGCGGCTCGTACCATGCTCTTCATAATAATGTACCTCCTCGTTTAGGGAAGATGCAAACCTTACAACTTGCTTTATCCCCGCACTTGCCATTCACACTTATCAACGAAGGCCATATCCACCACCCGCTCCTCAAGACTCATGTACTACTCTTACGGATTCTTAGCCTTTGCATCCTACACAAAAACTACCCACTGCTCTACGTAAAGATAACAGGTCATCTCGAAGTCCTAAACATATTTATGCTTGTCATTTAGCTTATCTTGATTTTCTACACCCTGCTTTGTTTTTGTGGTTTCTTTGGATTTTGTGTCTATTTCCAAAACTACAAGTGAAGCTATGTCCGACCTTGGATGGTGACGGGCTATGATCAATGAGATGACTGCTTTACACTCCAATGATACTTGGAATTTGGTTCCCTGATGGAAAAACTAAAGTGGGTTGTCGACGAGTCAAACAACAACAAAATAACCAAGCCTTATCCCAATAAGTGATATCGACTACATGGATCAACTTTCGTCATAATGTTCTATCCATAACCATGCTTCTATCCAAATTGTTTATCTCGAGATCATTCTTAACGACTTCTCTTATAGTCTTTCCAGGTCTTCCTCTTCCTCTAATTGTTTGACTTCTCTCTATTTGATCTACTCTCCTTACCACATCATCTGCATACCTTCTCTCTACATGCTCAAAACACCTAAGTCTATTTTCCACCATCTTCTCTACTATAGGTGCTACCCCAACACTCTTTCTCTAATATATTCATTTCTAATCTTATCCTTTCTAGTCTTTTCGCACATCCAACACGACATCCTCATTTCTGCTACACTTACTTTATTCTCGTGTTGATTCTTAAGCGCCCTACATTCTGTCCCATACAACATCGCAGGTTTTACTGCAGTGCGACTAAATTTTTTCTTCAGTTTGAGCGGTACCTTTGTGTCACATAAAATTCCTGAAGTCCTCCATTTCAGCCACCCAACTTGAATTTGATGGTTTACATCCTCTTCTATTTCTCCATCATTTTGTATTACAGTCCCAAGATATTAAAGTCGTGTGACTTGAGGGATGATACACTCTCCAATTTTCATCTCTAGATTAAAAACACTTCTTCTTTTGTTGAACTTACATTCCATATACTCCGTCTTACTTTTGATTAGGCGAAAACCTTGTGTTTCTAAAGCTTGTTTCCAAGTCTCCTACCTCTCATTTAAATCCTCATTCGAGTCTTCAAGTAGAACTATATCATTTGCAAAAAGCAAACGTCTAGTTGCTATCTCTTGAATGTGTTCCACGAGTACATCTAAAATTGAAGTAAAAAAGTATGTGATTAGGGTTTAACCTTAATGCAAACCTATTTTAATGGGGAAATTGCATGTCTCTCCACCTTGTGTCTGCAGGCTAGTCGATACCTCTTAATACATATCTTAGATGGCTTGATAAGTTTATACAGTTAAAATTGGTCATGATGGAAAGGTTTACCTCCTTAAAGCCCATCTCATAGCGAAAGGATACACACATATCTTTGGTCTTGACTATGGAGACACCTCTCTAATTGTCAAGATCGCATATGTCCGCCTCTTTTTTGCCTTGGCTGCTATTCATCAATAACCGCTCCGCTCCATTAACTAGACATAAAAAATGCCTTCATACAGGGTGAATTACAGGAGGTGTTCATGGCGCAACCCCCCTGATTCCATGTTAGTGATGCTCCTCTCTTCGTATGTTGGCTTCGTCGATTTCTTTATGTCTTGAAACAATCTCCCTGTGCTTGGTTTTACATGTTTAAGAATATGCTCCAAGAGTATGGTATGACTAGATGCGAAGTTGATTACTCTATCTTCTTTTTGCATTTTCACCATCCAATTGCCTTTATCTGTTGGTCTATGTCAATGACATCATCATCACTTGTAATGATAAGGATGACATTCTGCGGTTGAAACATTTGTCTCTACACTTCCTGACTAAAGATTTAGGACAACTAAAATAGTTTTTGGAGATTGGAGTTGCTCAATCCAAGATTGGTGTGACTATTACTTAGCGAAAAGATGCTCTTGATATACTAGAGGAAATTGGCTTGCTTGATTGTCATCCTAGTGACACTCATATGGATTCCAACGTCAAGCTACTATCAGGTAAGAGGAGCCATTAAAAGGCCTCAGAGATATCAACGTCTAGTTGGCAAACTTAATTACCTCACAGTGATCAGACCAGATATTACACTTGCTGTGAGTGTGGTTAGCCAATTTCTAAATGCTCCATGTGATGACTATTCGAACGCTGTGATTCGTATTCTTAAGTATTAAAAGAGTGCGCCAGATAAATGATTACTTCATGAAAATAAAGATAACACCCAAGTCGTCGGTTATTCTGATGTTGATTGGACAGGTTCGCCATCAGATAAAAGACCCACTTGGGTATTGTATTCTCATGGGGAGAATCTCTAAGCAGAGGAAGAAATAAAACATAGTTGCAAGGTCTAGTGCAGAAGCAGAATATTATGCTATGGCAGCATCGTGTGAACTCACGTGGTTAAAGCAATTACTCCAACAACTCAAATTAGGAGACATCAATCAAGGCAATGAAACTAATTTGTGACAACAAAACTACACTTCATATTGCCTCCAATTCGTTTTTTCTTGAAAGAACTAAGTACATAGATCGATTGCCACTTTGTAAGAGATAAGGTTCTTTCCGGCGAAATTGTAACTGATTTTGTTGGCTCAAATGATCAATTGGCTGACATGTTTATTAAATTCCTTAGAGGAGGTGTGTATGACATGTATGCTCCAACTTGAGGAGGTGTGTTAGAATTAATTAAAAATGTAGATATTCTAACTATGATTGTTAGTATTCCTAGGCTATACAACTTTCTAAGTTAGTGCTTATTCATTAATCTTGTATTTATCATAAGACTATTATAAGTATAAGTAGTGTGATCTATAACTAAAGACACTCAAAATTTACAAGTTCTATATCATAGATATTAAAATTTTCCATCAAAGCACTGTCATGTCACGATAGTAAAATCTACTCTAAAATGGGGCGGGGGACCAAAAAACAATGAAAATAAAAACCAGGAGATAAAAAGCTGATTTTTAAAATGGAGAGAACAAAATTTAATTTATAAAATAGGGGACCAAAAATATATTTAAAGCAAATATAAATATATTTTTAAGGCAATAGATACTGGCACATGTAAATAATTATATCAAACATTGGCTAATATTTACTTTAATTTTATAATTTTAAGACTAAGCAAATGTTAAATCGTAAATTCGTAAACCACCAGAAAATCAAGAGTTTTCCAATTTTATTTGTTTTTATGAACTTGTAAGAGCTTATTGAAAATATAGTTTACATGTGAGTTGACTCGTTTTAATGGCATAAAGTCGTAAACTTGTAAGATTGTAAGAGTTAATTTGTGAGTTAACAATCTTGGTTATGAGTTTATAATACACACATAGCTTAGCCCTGCAAATAGAGATGTTGTTTGTGCAATTAGTAGGTGTGCCGACTACTAGGCTTCTAGGAAACAACCCTAACATTACATCAAGGCGAGGCTCATTCTCTTTTGGAGAGCCTTATGTGTTAAGCACAATTATTTTTGTGTAGCAAAATGCTCAGATTTACAATAATTGTCTCAGTCTTTATAATTTATTGTTTTTGTGGCCACCCTATGGTGCTTAGTTCATGGTTACTTTAAAGGTGTCTCCCTAACAGCCATGCAAAGGGATTTGTGTTATCTTTTTTTTATGTGCATTTACTTTTTGATTGCTATGTAGATGTGTCCTGTTATCTTTCCTCTTTTCATTTATGTATTCACTTCTTCCTAATTTTTAATAAATCATCTTAGCATGCATATAAGTAAATAGAAGAAAAAAGTGCTAATGCCAATTTTTTTGTTACAGCCCCATTTCAATTTAGCAGTTTATTTTAAAACACTTCTCCTCCCTGAGCTTTATATAAATATACAAAATAATTCGAGGATAAAATTGTGCATTTTTCTTATTCTTACAGGGAGTATCTTGCTACTCTTGTTTAATAAGTTTTTATTTAAAGTATCATTCGTTGTTAATCTTGCTAATAGTTTAAAGAAATTGTTTAAAAGTTAATTGAGTAGAAGTGTCAAGCGGCAAGAGAAACTCCTTTTTCTATATGAAAATGCAAGAAATCAAAATTGACAAAATGATGAAAAGTATATAACTCAATATAGGTGAGGTCTGTAGGATGTTTGGGATGAAACCCCCAAAGTTTTATTCGCAAGCTATAGCGCATTGATAATATTCTATTGAGTTCCCATTATTTTTTCTTTTTTCCTAAGCAGAACTGATAATAGCATGCAATGCTTTTATGATTTAAATTTATGGTATTATGTCACCATTTCTTTGTTTTTTCCCGTAGAAAAAACTTGTTTATAGGCTTTGGACCATCCTGTTTCTTGAATTTGATTATTCTTCCTTTTTACAGATCTGCTTCCAGATTAATGGCCTGGATTTTGAGTTGGATTTTGGGAGCATCTGTTAAATTTCGTGTTGGTGGGTGGAAATGTTTAAGGGACGTGGTAGTGAAGTTTAAAAAGGTTTTTCTCTTTTTTCAGTCACTAAACTCATTTCATTGTTGGAGTTTTGAGGGCATTGGAGAGTTTTACAATATTCATTTTATCAGGCCATAGTTTGAGAGTGTAAAATGCACTGAATGTGTGGGTTTTTTGTTGTGATAAATGCTTAAAAATTGAATAAAGAATTGCTTCATCTCTCACAATTTGTGCTAGTTTCCCCTTAAATAATATTTTCATATGAAGTTTTCTCCCAGCCTCTGAAATATGTAGACAAATTGCTGCAGCTGAGAGTTGTTTCCTTCATACAGCTGCACTCTTTATCCTAGTTAAATTCCATTATTTTTATTCTACTGAAGTTTCATGTTTATCTCTGTTATCAGATTTCAGACTAGTTTCTTTAGGGGCTCCGGCTCATTACAATATATTTGTTGATTCACAACTTACAGGGTGCTGTTGAAACTGTATCTGTTGGTGAAATTAAGCTCAGCTTACGGCAGTCGCTGGTCAAACTTGGCGTGGGTTTTATGTCCCGGGATCCAAAGCTGCAAGTGTTAATATGTGACTTAGAAGTTGTGATGAGGCCTTCAATTAAAAGCACGGGGAAGAAGAAAACTCGGAAATCCCGTGCTTCAGGAAGAGGGAAGTGGATGATTGTAGGCAATATAGCAAGATATCTGTCAGTTTGTGTGACTGATCTGGTTCTGAAGGTGCACATCTCCATAAAATTGCGATGTTCTGCTTGTATGGTCAAATACAAGATGTATTATTTTCTTTTGTTGTTTCTATTTGGATCTTGTCATGATACTTTTGCTCATTGATAATTTCTCTCGAACTTTGCAGACACCAAAATTTACTGTCGATATCAAAGAATTGAATGTGGATATATCTAAAGATGGTGGATCTAAATCAAGTTTGTTAGTTAGACTACAAATATTACCTATTCTTGTTCACATTGGTGAGCCGCGGGTTAGTTGTGACCAGTTATCTAATTTAAATGGCGGAGGATGCAGTTCTTCGTGCCAGGCATCCTTTGCTGCTTTAGAAAGGTCTTCCGCCCCTTTTACCTGTGAAAAGTTTTCAGTCTCTTGTGAATTTGGCCATGATAGGTATATTTCTTCTTTCCATTTATTATTTTAATATTAACATGCACTTGTTAGAATGCTGGTGGAGTAGATAAAGAGATTGTCTATAAGATGATCCAGAGTATGTTTGGATTTCAGTTTGGGAGGGTTCGAAGATACATTTTAGTAAATTCAAAATGACATCCAGACACACTAGGCTATTTGGTGTTTAACTATTATAGTTGGGAAAAACCAATTTTTTCCCAACTATAATAGTTTAACTATATTTTTTCCCAATTATATTTAGTGTTTAACTATTATAGTTGGGAGAAACTAAAACCATAAATGAGATTTTAAATAGATATATTTCTTCTTTCCATTTATTATTTTAATATTAACATGCACTTGTCAGAATGCTGGTTGGAGGAGTAGATAAAGAGATTGTCTGTTAGATGATCCAGTGTATGTTTGGATTTCAGTTTGGAAGGGTTCAAACATACGTTTTAGTAAATTCAAAATGACATCCAAACACTCTAGGCTATTTGGTGTTTAGCTATTATAGTTGGAAAAATCTGGTATTTTCAGAGAAACTAAAACCATAAATGAGATTTTAAATATTTTAATTCAATTGTTGGAAAATATTTTATTTTTCTATTTAATTGTTTCCGTTTATTGTTATTTATTTTCTTTTATTCTCCATTAAGGAGAGAATTAAATATTTTTATTATATTCTCATTATATAAATCAGCCTTTGGCTGAGGAATAAAATTAGAACAACTTTTACATATTTCTTCCAATATGGTATCGAGAGTTCTGTGTTAGGGTTACCGTAAAGCTTTTCACAACTAGTGAAAAAAATTTCTGTTAACTCGCTTTTTTACCCGATCCGATTCACATACTCGTTTAACTTCTTATGGCGAATAACAACAAGTGGCCTTCCCCATCACAGACCTACACCGGATCCAACCATGGCGAACAATCGCAACCTGCGTCGGACGTCGGCCGCGGAAACGGCGGTGGCCGCAGAAACAGCGGCGATCACGGAGATGGCGAGTGAGAGGAACCGTCGGTGGTCACAAACAGTGGCAGTAATGACGTCAATAATGAAGACATTAACAACATTGTTTTTGGCAGTAATGATGACAATATTGGAAACAGGAACATTGTCTTTGGTGATAGTTATTCCAACATAGGCGGCAATGATCATGAGGGTTCCACATACTTCCTCAAGGTCAATATCCCTAAAATGAATGAGAATAATTATAACGAATGGGCTCAAACTGTTCGGTTGATGTTGGATAGCAAAGGCAAACTTGGTTTCTTAACAGGAGCAGTAGCTGAACCGTCATCAGGAGATCCTCGTTACAAACAATGGAAATCTGAAAACTCTTTGATTATTGCGTGGCTGGTAATCTCCATGGAAACTGGATTAGGTAAGCCTTACATGTTTTTGCCTTCCGCAAGGGATGTGTGGGAAGCTGATAAGGAAACATACTCTGATATTCAAAACTCCTCCCAAATTTGGTTTAAAATCAAAGTTATGCATGCTAAACAAGGTGACAGGAGTGTAACTGTTTATTACAATGAGCTGTTGACATTGTGGCAAGAGTTGAATCTCTGTTATGATGACAATTGGAGGCGTACAGAAGACAGTGTTTTGTTTCTCAAAAGGCAAGAAAATGATCGTGTATTCATGTTTTTCGCTGGGCTCAATAAAGACCTTGATGAGGTAAGAGGTAGAGTTTTAGGAAAAATACCATTGCCAACTCTTTGTGAAACTTTTGCTAAAATAAGAATGGAGGAGACACGACAAGGAATTATGATGGGCAAGACACCACGAAGCTCTGAATCTGAAGGTTCATCTTTGGCTACTAGGAACCTTGACGAGGGAAGAAAGTCAGATAAAATTCTTTGGTGTGATCACTGCAAGCACGAATGACATACGCGTGAAACCTGGTGGAAGCTCAAAGGCAAACCTCCGAACTGGAAGAAGAAAGGTGGTCGCGCATTTCAGGATAGTAATTCTGATAAAGGGCAACAATCCTCTACAACTCAGCTTCCACTTACTACGAAACAACTAGACAGACTGTACAAACTCCTTGAGTCTCCAACCCCTTGCTCTATAGCGACAAAAGGTAATTCTACATTTTTTAGTGTCAGTCCCAGTCATACTTGAATAGTAGATTCAGGTGCCTTTGATCACATGACAGGTGAATCTACTTTGTTCTCTTCATATAGTTCATGTGCAGGTAATCAAAAAATAAAAATTGCAGATGGCTCTTTTTCAGCCATTGCAGGTAAAGGGTCAGCTGTGTTGTCTCCAATATTAACTCTTAAAAATGTTCTTCATGTTCCAAACTTATCGTGTAATTTAATGTCCGTAAGTAAATTAGCCCAAAATATAAATTGTCAAATTAATTTTTTCTGATCTCACTGTGTCTTTTAGGATTTGAACTCGGGGAAGATGATTGGCAGTGCTAAGGAGAGTGGAGGACTCTACTACCTTGACATTGGATCTGCATCACAACTATCTTTAACAATAATTCCTGCTTTGAGTCTTTTTCTGTTTTGAATAATAAAGATGACAACATTATGGTATGGCATTTAAGATTAGGTCATCCTAGTTTTCGTTACTTAAAACACTTGTTTCCTAAGTTATTTCACAATAAGAATTTTTCTTTGTTTAAATGTGAAGCATTTGAGTTTGCAAAGCATCATCGTTCCCAATTTTCAATACAACCTTATAAACCATCAAAACCGTTTTCTATTATTCACAGTGATGTTTGGGGCCCTAACCGTACTAGTACACCCTCTCTCAAAAAATAGTTTATCACATTTATAGATGACCATACAAGAGTACGTTGAGTGTATTTGTTAAAGGGGAAATCAGATGTTTGCCAAACTGTAAAGAATTTTTTTTCAATGGTGCATAACCAATTTCAAACAAATATCCAAGTTCTTAGAAGTGATAATGGCAAAAAATATTTTAACACTATCTTGAATGATTTTTTTCTAAAAAATGAGATTGTACATCAAAGTTCATGTCCTAATACTCCTCAACGAGATGGAGTGGCTGAAAGAAAAAATAGTCATTTATTGGAGATTGCTAGAGCTCTACTTTTTTTGAAAAATTTATCTTTGCCTGTACCAGAAAATTCCGAGACTTTTACATCTGCGCCAACAAAAAATGGCCATGATTCTGTATCTGATCCTACTTCTGTTATGAGTAAGGAGCCTTGTGAATCCGAGCCTACATTTTTTCTTGTAGAAAACAATGAGAATTCTGAAAACGATGATAATGATGATCTAATTGAAATGCCACAAAATAATGAGTCACTTCAAGAAAACAGATTGGAATTAGGAAACGGGACTTGGAAAGGGAAGGTTTTAATGAAAAAGCACCATAAACGAAGGGACGAGTCCACGTCTCAGCACTGCCAGGAATCTGAACTGGGGAATGATCAACCTCCTAACAAAAGGAAAGGTAAGTCTATATCTGTTTCTGAGAGTCGTACTTTGTAACTTGATATAGATGATCCTGTTGCCATTAGAAAATCTATCAGATCTTGCACTAAACACCCCATGTCCAATTTTATTTCATATTCAAATTTGTCTTCATCTATGTCTTCCTTCACCTCAAAATTGTCTAGTGTAGAAATTCCAAAAAGTGTACAGGTTGCTCTAGAAAATCCAAAGTGGAGGGAAGCTGCACTTGAGGAGATGAAAGCTCTTGAAAAGAACAAAATTTTGAGTGTTATGTCACTACCAGATGGTAAGAAGACAGTTGGATGCAAATGGGTGTTTACTGTGAAGTATAATTTAGATGAGTCAATTGAAAGCTACAAGGTTTGCTTGGTGGCTAAAGGCTTCACTCAGACCTATGGTATAGACTACTCAGAGACATTTGCTCCTGTTGCAAAATTGAACATTGTAAGAATTCTTTTATCTCTTGCTGCTAACCTGGATTGACCCCTACATCAGTTAGATGTTAAGAATGCCTTTCTTAATGGTGATCTAGAAGAAGTATATATGGACATTCCTCCTGGTTTTGAAAACAAATTTGGATCAAATGTATGCAAACTAAACAAGTCTCTGTATGAATTAAAGCAGTCTCCCAGAGCTTGGTTTGAAAAATTCACTCAGTCCATGAAAAATCAAGGGTACATCCAAGAACAGGCTGATCACACCTTGTTCACAAAATTCTCCAATGTTGGAAAAGTTGTTCTGATTGTTTATGTTGATGATATTGTCCTTATTGGAGACGATACAATGCAAATGACAAGGGTAAAAGAATAATTGACAGTAGACTTTAAAATCAAGGACTTGAGATTCATAAGATATTTTCTAGGCATGAAGGTTGCTCGGTCAAAGAATGAAATTGTGGTTTCACAGCAGAAATATATTCTAGACTTATTGAAAGAAACAGGAATGGGTGAATGTCGTCCTACAAATACCCATATGGATTCTGATGCTAAACTTTGGGGAAAAGGTAATGTTCCTGTTGATACTGAAAGATATCAGAAATTGGTTGAGAAACTGATTTATTTGTCACACACCCGACCTGATATTGCTTTCTCAGTCAATGTAGTGAGTCTGTTTATGCATTCTCCTTTCGAAGAACATCTTGAGGCAATCTATAAGATACTGAGATATCTAAAGGGAAATCTTTGAAAAGGATTATTTTTTAAGAAGACTAGTGAAAGGAATGTGTCTATCTTCATCGATGCTGATTGGGCAGGTTCAGTCACCGATAGAAGATCAACCTCTGGATACTGTACCTATGTTTGGGGTAATCTTGTGACATGGAAGAGTAAGAAACAAGACGTTGTAGCAAGGAGTAGTGCAAAATCCGAGTTTAAAGCTATGTCTCAAGGTATTTGTGAAGGATTATGGATCCTTAGAGTCCTAGAAGAACTTAAGATGGAAGTTGAACTTCTATTGAAATTGTACTCTGACACTAAAGCTGCTATTAGCATAGCTCATAATTCAGTTCAACATGACAGAAACAAGCATATTGAGATTGATTGACACTTCATAAAGGGGAAGTTAGATGCTGGAATTATATGTCTACCTTTCGTGACTTCAAGTCAGCAAACTGCTGATATCCTGACCAAAAGTTTGACAAGACCTTCCTTTGAGCATTTGGTAGACAAGTTGGGCATGATAGATATCTATTCACCAGCTTGAGGGGGGTGTTGGAAAATATTTTATTTTCCTATTTAATTGTTTCCGTTTATTGTCATTTATTTTTTTTTATTCTCCATTAACGAGAGAATTAAATATTTTTATTGTATTCTTATTATATAAACCCGCCTTTGGCTGAGGAATAAAATTACAATAGTTTTTACCTATTTCTTCCAATATCTATATTGTTTACCTTAACATGGCATTGGCAATCACTGCCGCATGACCAATGTTCATGCATGGGACATTACTAGTTTACTCTTAGCATATAATGCAACACTTATTTATGCACAAAATTTATAGACACAGACACTTAGTTCGACAAATGTTGCACGATGAGATGAAGAACTTAAAATGCCTAATAGCTACCAGTTTCTATTTGCTTGGTTCATAATTCTGGCGGTGTACCATATGTACTGAAGAATTTTTCAACTATGTAATCTGTCTAATGGAATTTCCTTTTTCATCTACATTATTGGTCATATATTGATTTGCTGTTTTTATATTTTGTACTGTTGTTTTTGGCTTGATTGCCTGACTTCAGCTTGGATAGTCTCAGTCTCACTATTTTGTATTGCTGCTAAGTTAATTTCGTCTTTCTTCTTTTTTGGACATAGGGAAGCTGGTATAGTTATCAAGAATGTGGACATTTCCAGTGGAGAGGTTACATTGAATTTAAATGAGGAGTTGCTTTTGAAAAGCAAGAGTTCATCAAAGTCTTCTTCTAACTCCAACAGTGTTTTAGGGTCACAAGATGATTCTGTAAGCAATAAAAAACCATCAAAGAAGCAGCAAAGACTCGCAGCCTTCTCCAAGTACAGTTCTATGTTTCCTGAAAAGGTTGTAAATTAACACATACACCCTATTCTTAATCATCTCTCTCTCTCACACACACACACACACACATTTAACTATTAAAAGAGAACGGGAAAACAAGAGGAAGGGAAGGAAAGGAAATTTTCTCAAACAATAAAAACCGTTAAATACACACTAAGCATAGCAAGTACATCAACACAATAGTTGAAGTTTATTTTACTTCAGTAATGTGATCTATTGAATTTGCAACTAGCTGAAACTATTTTTTCCGTTACGATTTGTTTTTTATTTTGAAGTGACAATTCATTTTGATCGCATTTGAAAAGATTAGTGCTATCAAATATATTATTATCGCTACAACAAGCATTTCTCATACTCCCTCCATCCCAAATTATAAGAAAAAAGAAATCAATTCACACTTACTAAGACAATCAAAACACAATAATTTGGAGTATGACTTTTTGTTTTTTCATTGGAATAAGGTTTATGACAAGATGTAAAAACGTTTTTTATTGGTTATTCGTTATGGAGAAAATGGAAAGGAGAGCAAATTAAATGCAATTTGCTTTGAATTTCACTGAAATAAGTAAAGTCAATTCTTGAAAATGATAGATTTTTGGATGAACATCATTAAATTAGAGAAAAATTGATATTTTTTGCTTATAATTTGGGACAAAAAAAAGAGTTTATTTTCTTATAAATTGGGACGGAGGGATTATTTTACTTGAATTTATAAATGTGTACAGCAGTACTGTAATTGCAATAACCTAGACAGTCTTAAGCTAACAGCTGTCAGCATCACTGCCAGTAGTTATCATCTTACTGCATTATGTTATTTGCTGTTAGGTAAGCGATGCAAGTGCCAAGTTATGCAAATGACTAACTGTGATATTTCTAAATACGTACGGTTACCATATCACACTATAAGTACAACTTGTACACTCTGTTTTTAGTAGATCAACAGAATATCAAACACTAACTTTCTCTCAAGTGTTCTTAGTTTTGTTTCTCAAAAGAATTTGTGTTTCTTTTTACCTTCCTTTTGGTTTGATTAGCTTAAATTGTTTGGTTGAAGTTTAGTCTTTTGGCTGGTCTTAATGTTTCTTTGAAATGGGATGTCTCACTTGATGCTCCCTAGACATTTTTTCAATGTACTGATATGGAAAATATTAGAAGAGAACCCTTCCTTTTTATTTGAGAACAAGGCGGAAGAAGGTTTCACAGTCAGTCTTTCTCAAATATGAAGGTTTAGTTTATAGGTGGAGGCTACAGCGGAGCAACATTATGAATGGTTCATAGTGGAGCATATGTTTGGCCATTAGAAATATTATTAATTTCAGAATGGTTCAAATTATTTAAAAAAAAAATTACAGATAGACCCTTTAGCTTCTTGTATGAATAGTGTTATAGAATCTTTCATGCTCCTCTTCCACCTAGCGCTTCTCTAGAGTCTAGCCTGTCGTACCACCACTATCAGAAACAAATAATATTCTCCACCAGGGATTTTAACGTACTGCATCCCCCCATTTTTCTATCTCTGGAAACACACCACAATGCCCAAACCCAAAACTCTTGCCCCAATGCAATCTATCAGCCCCCTCCCTGAAAACCATTACCATAGGCACCCTTCTCTCTCAACTATCTATATCCTTTACTTTTCTCCATGTTCCCAGAAATCCCTGACATCTCCAAAAGGGTGTTTCTGTATGTTTTTAGATTAGAATCCCTTCATCTTCTATCAGGTATTGCAGCAACTGAATTTTCTAGTCACGCAAAGCATTGAGAATGCACAAGCTTTTGTTGGCCATCTTGTGCAGCAAACCACTGAGCACACCGAGTTCTCCTCTAATAAAAAGAATGCATTTTAGAATCACTTTATCTTTCTGCTGGGTTGTGTGGTGTAATGGTGTGTCTTTGTGCATCTTTTCCCCAACTTTATGCTCTTTATGTGGTGCTTCGGTTATGGGTTTCCTTGTTGTGGATAGGTCTAGTTTTTCAAGCCACTTTCATTTTCTTTTTCAGAAATTTGAAGGGTAGAGAAACTGCATAAGTTATGTATGATCTTGTGCTTCAAAGTCTTGATTCTGTTACTGTTTATGATCCGCTGGACACTAGAATTTGGCTTTTGGGCAAATGTGGTTCCTTCACTTGTAAGTCTCTCTGAGTGTGTGTTCGTGTCCTTGGTGACTTTTGGTTTCCTTGGAGTAAATTTAATTTGGAAATCTTGGGCCTAATGAAATTCAAAGCCTTTATCCACTATATGTTGCTTAATTTGATAACAGTTCTGGTTATATTTGTTGGTTTTATTTAATCAAAAGTAGCGTTCAAAATGTGCTTTTAAAATTGTGTTAATGTCAACTGTGAAGCATTTTGTTATTGACAGGTCAACTTCAATCTACCAAAGTTGGATGTGAATTTTGTGCATCGTGAACATGGTCTTTCTATTGAAAACAACATCACTGGTATCCAATTGAAAAGCACTAAATCTCGATCTACTGAGGATGTTGGAGAGAGTACACGCCTTGATTTTCAACTGGAGTTTAGTGAAATTCATGTACGAGTTTGACTGTTAATTATGGTGAAGCTCTTCTTGCATTTTGTTTTGTTTCTTGTTGACAAGTTTTCATTTGCCTTATTGATATTACAGCTTCTCAGAGGAGCTGGTTCTTCCATTCTGGAGATATTAAAGTTGGATTTGGTTTCTTTTGTATATATCCCTGTACAGGTAGGTTATTTACAATCATATAAAGTAGCTTTTCCATGTTAAGACAAAATGCAGAATGAATTTAGAACAAGACTTTTCATTATTCAAACAAGTGTTAGGGTACACCTATTTATACAAAGAGTTTATATGACTGTTCAAGAGAAACTAATACAACAAAGCCGGTCCTGACAGATGTCAGTAACTGCTTATAACATAATGAGAGGTGATCTATGTGTTCAACAGAAACCAGTACAACAGAGTCAGTAGCTGACAACTGCCAGTAACTGCCTTTAACAATAAGAGGTGATACAGTGCTGCAAACTTTGTGGCCTTATCAAAGACACTAACATTACATCATTGTAAACCGTCATTCCTTTGTCTTTACTCTGCCTGGCTAAATTTACCCAAATAAGGGGTTAAATTGCAAACAATTTTTTTTTACTTATAGAAAGAAAATTTATTGTAAAGCTAACTTGGTGGTGGAGTGGTTAATCATCTATAATTATCGCCTGAGAATTTTTGGTGGCTACAAAATAGTTGGTTTTATGCTTGAAGTTATCATGCAAAGCCACATAGTTTTGCAAATGTATTTTGGTTGAGAGTTATTGATGAGAATCCCACAGTGGATACTGAGATGCATGAATAGTGGTTATAATTTCAACGGGGGCTGTCGAAATTTCAGAATGTATTATTATGATTTCATTGTTACAAAATACAATAGGTTCAACCTCTATTTATAGAGTTGTAGTTAGGTTAAACTAACTCTCTTGAATCAAGGGAACAGTTCCTGAATTCAAGGAACTGTTACAACAGAAACTAACTGTGAACTGTTACAACATAAACTAACAGCATGCTGTGATAACAGAAACTAACAGCATGTCAGTTGGCACAGGCGCCAGCTGTCATGCCTTAACTGACAGTATCTCTAACAGGTGCAACCTTCACCCCATCAGCTTGTTTTTGATGTTGAGTTAGGCCCAAACCCGAATTCTAACATTTATCTATAAATTACAAATTGAAAATGCTCAGATAGTAAGAAGCTAAAGTTGCTATGCCTTTGGCAGTATTATTCAAAAATAATTTTCTCTAATTATAATTAAGTATATATGTATAGTTGGACTAAGAAAGTTTTCTCATGCACTTCATAAAAAAGCAGCTGCTTCTTTTTCATTTAAAAAAGAAGATGTGAATATAATTAGTTATATAGTTGTAGGATGACATGATACCATAGCGTAATGCTTCTGTTGTACTAGACCCACAATTGACCCTGGCAATTTAACAGAAAGATTGGAAATAATAAAAAATAAATAGGAGGTTTAATTAAAGGAATGAAGGTGCCAAAATAAAAACAAAAGTTTTAAGAAAGTTGGAACTTATTTCTTTTGGGTACACAAAACAGGAATTTTAAATTCTCATGTTTGTCTTTTTACACACTGCTCAATTGCTTTAAACATTTTTTTTTGGGTTATATTTGTACTGTGTATTTTTATAGGGAGCTTGAAATTTCTTTTTGTATCTGATGTGGTAACTTATTATTATTGTTTCTGTATCAGCCAATTTTACCTGTTAGAGCTGAAACTGAAATCAAGCTAGGAGGTACTCAGTGCAACGTCATGATGAACCAGCTAAAGCCATGGCTTCTCCTTCATTTTTCTAAGAAGAAAAAAATGGTTCTTAGAGAAGAAACTTCTGTTGTTGCAAAGCCACAATCAACTGATGGCGAGATCATCATGTGGACATGCAATGTCTCGGCTCCTGAGATGACAATAGTGCTTTTCGACATGGTTGGTTCACCAGTGTATCATGTAAGTATTGAGCTTATTTATGTCTTCATTATTGTAACAAGTTGCTGCTAATAAAGAGTTAAAAAGTTGAACCGTATCATGTAAGTATTGAGCTTATTTGTGTCTTCATTATTGTAACAAGTTGCTGCTAATAAAGAGTTAAAAAGTTGAACCGTATCTTTGGAAAATGTTTCCAGTAGTGCTATAACACTAATGTATGAGTAGTTTAATGTCTAATGTGATTTTTTGCTTTGTTTGGAATCTTCATGTATTGGAAGAAATAGATAAAAGCTGTTGAAATTTTATTCTTCAGCTAAAGGCTGGGTTATATAATGAGAATACAATAAAAATACTTAATTCTCTCCTTAATGGAGAATAAAAGAAAATAAATGACAATAAACGTAAACAATTAAATATGGAAATAAAATATTTTCCAACACCCCCCGTCAAGTTGGTGTATAGATATCTATCATGTCCAACTTGTCTATCAAATGCTCAAAGGTAGGTCTTGCGAAATTTTTGGTCAGGATATCCGCAGTTTGCTGACTTGAAGTCACGAAAGGTAGACATATGATTCCAGCATTTAACTTCTCCTTTATGAAGTGTCGATCAATCTCAATATGCTTGATTCTGTCATGTTGAACTGGACTATGAGCTATGCTAATAGCAGCTTTACTGTCAGAGTACAATTTCAATGGAAGCTCAACTTTCATCTTAAGTTCTTCTAAGACTCTAAGGATCCATAATCCTTCACAAATACCTTGAGACATAGCTCTAAACTCGATTTTTGCACTACTCCTTGCTACAACGCCTTGTTTCTTGCTCCTCCAACGTCACAAGATTATCCCAAACATATATACAGTATCCAGAGGTTGATCTTCTATCGGTGACTGAACCTGCCCAATCAGCATCGGTGAAGGTAGACACATTCCTTTCACTTGTCTTCTTAAAAAACCTTTTCCAGGATTTCCCTTCAGATATCTCAGTATCCTATAGACTGCCTCGAGATGTTCTTCGAAAGGAGAATGCATAAACTGACTCACTACACTGACTGAGAAATCAATATCAGGTCGGGTGTGTGACAAATAAATCAGTTTTCCAACCAATCTCTGATATCTTCCAGTATCAACAGGAACATTACCTTCTCCCCAAAGTTTAGCATTAGGGTCCATAGGGTATCTGCAGGACGACTTCCACTCATTCCTGCTTCTTTCAATAAGTCTAGAATGTATTTCTGCTGTGAAACCACAATACCATTCTTTGACCGAGCAACCTCCATGCCTAGAAAATATCTCATGAATCACAAGTCCTTGATTTCAAAGTCTACTGCCAATTTCTCTTTTACCCTTGCCATTTTCACTGTATTGTCTCCAGTAAGGACAATATCATCAACCTAAACAATGAGAACAACAACTTTCCCATCGTTGGAGAATTTTGTGAACAAGGTGTGGTCAGCCTGTCCTTGAATGTACCCTTGATTCTTCATGGTCTGAGTGAATTTTTCAAACCAAGCTCTGGGAGACTGCTTTAATCCATACAAAGATTTATTTAGTTTGCATACATTTGATCCAAAATTGTTTTCAAAATCAGAAGGAATGTCCATATATACTTCTTCTTCTAGATCACCATTAAGAAATGCATTCTTAACATCTAACTGATGTAGGGGCTAATCCAGGTTAACAGAAAGAGATAAAAGAATTCTTATAGTGTTCAATTTTGCAACAGGAGCAAATGTCTCTGAGTAGTCTATACCATAGGTCTGAGTGAAACCTTTAGCCACCAAGCGAGCCTTGTACCTTTCAATTGACCCCTCTGAATTATACTTCACAGTAAACACCCATTTGCATCCAACTGTCTTCTTGCCATCTGGTAGCGACGTAACACTCCAAGTTTTGTTTTTTTCAAGAGCTTTCATCTCCTCAAGTACAACTTCCCTTCACTTTGGAATTTCTAGAGCATCCGGTACACTTTTTGGAATTTCTACACTAGACAATTTTGAGGTGAAGGCAGACATAGATGTAGACAAATTTGAGTATGAAATAAAATTGGACATGGGGTGTTTAGTGCAAGATCTGACAGGTTTTCTAATGGCAACAGGATCATCTATATCAGGATACAAAATACGACTCTCAGAAATAGAGATAGACTTACCTTTCCTTTTATTAAGAGGTTGATCATTCTCCAGTTCAGATTCCTGGCAGCGTTGAGATGTGGACTAGTCCCTTCGTTTATTGTGCTTTTTCATAAAAACCTTCCCTTTCCAGGTCCTGTTTCCTAATTTGAATCTGTTCTCTTGAAGTAACTCATAATTTTGTGGCATTTCAATTAGATCATCATTATCATCGTTTTCAGGATTCTCATTGTTTTCGACAAGAGAAAATGTAGGCACAGATTCACAAGGCTCCTTACTCATAACAGGAGTAGAATCAAATACAAAATCATGGCCATATTCTGTTGGTGCGGATGTGAAAGTTTCAGAATTTTGTGGTGTAGGCAAAGATAGATTTTTCAAAAAACTCATGTCCTCAACTTGAAACGAGTCTTCCTTTCGGCCACTCCATTTCACCCCCAAATGATTTGGTACTTTATTCAAAAAAAGTAGAGCTCTAGCAACCTCTAATAAATGTCTATTTTTTCTTTTGGCCATTCTATTTTGTTGTGGAGTATTAGGACATGAACTTTGATGTACAATCCCATTTTTAAAAAAAAATCATCCAGGATAGTGTTAAAATATTCTTTGTCATTATCACTTCTAAAAACTTGGATATTTGTTTGAAATTGGTTCTGCACCATTGAAAAAATATTCTTTACAGCCTGGCAAACATCTGATTTCCCCTTTAATAAGTGTACCGAACATACTCTTGTATGGTCTTCTATAAATGTGATAAACTATTTTTTGAGAGAAAGTGTACTAGTACGGTTAGGGCCCCAAACATCACTGTGAATAATAGAAAATTGGGAACGATGATGCTTTGCAAACTCACATGTTTCACATTTAAATGAAGAAAAATTCTTATTGTGAAATAACTTAGGAAACAAGTGTTTTAAATAACGAAAACTAGGATGACCTAATCTTAAATGCCATACCATAATGTTGTCATCTTTATTATTCAAAACAGAAAAAGACTCAAAGCAGGAACTTATTGTTAAAGGTAGTTGTGATGCAGATCCAATGTCAAGGTAGTAGAGTCCTCTACTTTCCTTAGCACTGCCAATCATCTTCCCCGAGTTCAAATCCTGAAAGACACAGTGAGATCGGAAAAAATTAGTTTGACAATTTATTTTCGACTAATTTACTGACGAACATTTATTTACACGATAAGTTTGGAACACGAAGAACATTTTTAAGAGTTAATATTGGAGATCAGATTCAGAGCTTGCAGTGATCACACCAAGGAACTTTATCTGACCTTCTTCCCTTGTCAAGGTTCCTTGTAGCCAGAGCTGAACCTTCAGATTCAGAGCTATGTGGTGTCTTGCCTTCTCTCTTCTTATTTTTGCAAAAGTTTCACGAAGAGTTGGCAATAGTATTTTTCCTAAAACTCTACCTCTGACCTCATCAAGGTCTTTATTGAGCCCAACGAGAAACATGAATACACGATCATTTTCTTGCCTCTTGAGAAACAAAACGCTGTCTTCTGTACACCTCCAATTGTCATCATAACAAAGATTCAACTCTTGCCACAGTGTCAACAACTCATTGTAATAAACAGTTACGCTCCTGTCACTTGTTTCGCATGCCATAACTTTGATTTTAAACCAAATATTTGGGAGGAGTTTTGAGTATCAGAGTATGTTTCCTTAACAGCTTCCCACACATCCTTTGCGGAAGGCAAAAACATGTAAGGCTTACCTATTCCAGTTTCCATGGAGCTTACCAGCCACGCAATAATCAAAGAGTTTTATGATTTCCATTGTTTGTAACGAGGATCTCCTGATGTCGGTTCAGCTATTGCTCCTGTTAAGTAACCAAGTTTCCCTTTGCTATCCAACACCAAACGAACGGTTTGAGCCCATTCATTATAGTTATTTCCATTCAGTTTAGAGATATTGACCTTGAGGGAGTATGAGGAACTCTCTTGATTATTACCGTCTATGTTTGAATAACTATCACCAAAGATAGTGTTCCTATTTTCATTGTTGCTGTTATTACTGCCAAAAACAATGTTAATGTCTTTATTATTGCCGTCATTATTGCCACTGTTTGTGACCATTGACGGTTCCTCTCGTTCGCCATCTCCGCGACCACTGCCGTTTCCGCGACCACGCTCCGAACCCCACTAGTTGTAGAAAGCTTTACGGTAACCCTAACCCAGAGTCAGAGCTCTCAATACCATATTGAAAGAAGTAGATTAAAGCTGTTGTAATTTTATTCCTCAGGCAAAGGCTGATTTATATTATGAAAATACAATAAAAATACTTAATTTTCTCTTTAATGAAGATTAAAAGAAAATAAATGACAATAAACGTAAACAATTAAATATGAAAATAAAATATTTTTCAACATCATGAATCTTAGGTCTCTTTTAATTAAGTTTTCAATTAGATTCCATTTCTACTGTGACATTCTAAAGTAAGGATGTTATTCAAATGAAGTTGAAAAATGGGTCTATTTAAATGACTGCATTTCCAGTTATGGTGACACGGCCCACAAAGGGTAAAGAGCTCAAAAGATATGCCATATTGCCATGATAATTTTCTTCTTCTTTCTTTTGAATGAGAATTGTACCTATTTGAAGCCCATATTCCAACTGTTCAATTAATAGGTCTATAAAAGGGTAATAATATTGTGATTGGAAGAATCTTCTTGTTGAACTTGTTAAGAAATGTGGTTGGATCTAACTCATCTTTACAAAATTAGTTTGTAGGGTGAGGATGCCCCCACTTATAACCACATGTTCAGGTCATATACTGTCCGATGTGGGACTCTTAATACACTCTCTCACGCCTATGACTAGTCATCTGGAGCTTGGAAATAAATGACGGTGGCCAGATAGCAGAATCTGATAGCAGGTGACCCATCAGATCTTAAATCAGATCCTTGATACCATGTTAATATATGTGGTTGGGCCTAACTCATCCCTACAAAACCGGCATGTAGGGTGAGGCTTGACCCCACTTATACCTGCATGTTCAATACCTGCATGTTCAGGTCATATATTGTCTAATGTGAGACTCTTAATTGAAATTTTGATCTTAAGCAGATTATTTTTTGATGCTATTGCAGCTCATGACTCCTCTCATTTCCCCCCTCTTTTATCTTTAGTAAAATATCTCCTAAAAAAAATTAGTTTGACATTATTTAATTCTTTGAGTAGCAGGACTTTTATGTTTCTGCTCTTACGTTTTCAGTCACCTTTAGAAGAAGCAAGGAGTTAGGATGGAATCTTTACGTGAGTCTAATGGACTAATATTTCCTTTGGCTTTATTAAGCATGCAATTGTTTGATTTTCGAGGTGAGTGTTGTGAAGTTCTGTTTTTAGTTGACATTTTCCCAGACAAAATATGTGTGAGTGCAACCGAGAACCCAAATACTGAATGACGATGGTTAGCAAAGATTGAACCAAGAACAGAGCAGTTGATCCTGTGCTTCCCTCACTTGATAGACTTCTTTCTCACGATTTTGAATGCGATCTGGCTCGGAGAGGAACTCTGGAAGAATTTATGGGAAACCAGATAACCTTGAAGTCAATGAACTTTGATAAAAGGTTCATCCTGGCGACAACAGACGGAGGAAGTTTTTACCATCGAGGCATTCTGTCATGGTGTGGGAAAACAAAACTGTAGCTGTGAATTTGCTGGAAATAGTATTTTTGGGACTCAAGAGTGTGGGGTGGTGACACTCTAACCATAGAAAGAGGATCCACTGCATATGGTTGTGGAGGCGGAGAGGTTTCAGAAGAAGACATGAATAAAAGTCAAGAGGCTCTGATACATCTTGAAGTTCAGAGAAAACATAAAGAAACTGCAAATGAATATAACTGAAACGAATTAAACTTAGCTCTGCATCACTGGAAATATATAGGAAGAGTCTAATGTAGCTGTCATGGGCAGTTGTACAAGAGTTAGTAAAACTAAGTGCAACTATACTTACAGCATTCTAATTGTGCTGACAACTTTACTAATTAAATAGTATATTCTCACACAACTTATTGGGGTTTGTTTTGTATGTTTAAAATTGAAATTCCTTTCATTTAATTTTTTATACATTGTGTATCGATAAACACTTGAGTTCTATTGTTTAGAGGTAGTTATCCTTGTTTTACATTTATTGTTTTCCTTTAAATTAGTTGTGCAAAGAAATTTACTTCAGTTTTATTGCTTTTCAATTCTAGGGATGCTCACAATCATCACATCTGTTTGCAAACAACATTTCGAATACGGGGATGACAGTACATGTTGAACTTGGAGAGTTAAATCTCCACATGGCTGACGAATATCAAGAGTTCTTGAAAGAAAGTGTTTTTGGTGTGGAATCGAATTGTGGCTCTATTATGCACATTGCAAAGGTTAGTTTGGATTGGGGGAAAAAGGACATGGAATTGCCTGAAGATAATGGTCCCAGGCTATGTTTATCAATTGATGTGACTGGAATGGGAGTTTATCTAACTTTCAAACGAATAGCGTCACTCATTTCAACAGCCATATCATTTCAAGCTTTATTAAAAACCCTATCTACTTCAAAGAAAAAATTGTCTCACAGCCAAGGGCGTTTATCAAAACCTTCAGGGAAGGGAACTCAGATTTTGAAATTCAATCTTGAGAGGTGTTCTGTATATATTTGGGGTGAGACTGGGTTGGATAATGCGACTGTTCCAGACCCGAAGCGTGTTAATTATGGTTCACAAGGTGGTAGAGTTATAATAGATGTCTCAGAAGATGGTACCCCACGCAATGCCCACATAATGCCCACTATTTCCAATGAATTCCAGAAGCTTAAGTACTCTGTCTCTCTTGAAATCTTTCAATTCAATTTGTGCACGAACAAAGAGAAACAGTCCACTCAGATTGAACTTGAAAGAGCCAGATCTGTCTATCAGGAATATATGGAGGAAAATCGGCCAGTAACAAAGGTGGCATTGTTTGATATGCAGAATGCTAAATTTGTACGGCGATCTGGTGGCCTAAAACAGATTGCTGTCTGTTCTCTTTTCAGTGCTACTGACATCACTCTTAGGTGGGAGCCTGATGTACATCTATCACTAATTGAACTTGTATTGCAACTGAAGTTACTTGTACATAACAGCAAGCTTGAACACATGGGAGATGCATCTCGCGGACGAGATGCTAATTGGAAACAAGATGCTACCACTGAATCAGGACATCTTGAAAAGCAGAAGCATAAAGAATCAATTTTTGCTGTTGATGTAGAAATGTTAAGTATTTCGGCTGGGCTAGGAGATGGAGTTGATGGTATGGTTCAGGTGCAGTCAATATTCTCTGAAAATGCTCGTATAGGAGTGCTCCTTGAAGGACTTATGCTTAGTTTTAATGGGGCTAGGATCTTCAAGAGTAGTCGAATGCAAATTTCACGAATTCCCAGTGTCTCTGCTAGTGCATCTGATGCAAAAGGGCATGTGGTCACTACATGGGATTGGGTAATTCAAGGTCTTGATGTTCACATTTGCATGCCATACAGATTGCAATTGCGTGCCATTGATGATGTCATTGAGGATATGTTACGAGGTTTGAAGCTCATAATTGCTTCAAAGACAAATTTGATTTTTCCAATGAAGAAAGATAGCTCTAAAGTTAAGAAACCCAGTTCTGTTCAATTTGGATGCCTTAAATTTTGTATACGCAAGTTAACTGCTGATATTGAAGAGGAACCAATCCAGGGATGGCTTGATGAACACTATCAGTTACTGAAGAAGGAGGCTGGTGAGTTAGCTATCCGGATGAATTTTCTAGATGAATTAATATCGAAGGCGAAACATGGTCCTAAATCTACTGACACCATTAGTTCTTCTCAAGAAGGAAAATTTTCTTTTAACAATATTGAGGTTGATGTAAAAGATGCTACTACTGTTGAATCCATAAGAGAAGAAATTTATAAAAGATCATTCCGATCATATTACCAGGCATGCCAAAATCTAGTATTATCGGAAGGGTCAGGTGCTTATAGAGAAGATTTCCAGGCTGGTTTCAGACCCAGTACTTCGAGGACTTCTCTTCTTTCTATAACTGCACTAGATTTAGATCTAAGCTTGAAAAAAATTGATGGTGGAGACGCTGGGATGATTCAGGTTCTGAAGAAGCTTGATCCTGTTTGTCTTGAAAATGATATACCATTCTCTCGACTGTATGGGACAAATATCCTCCTAAATACGGGCTCTCTTGTGGTTCAGCTTCGGAATTACACATTTCCTCTTTTCTCCGGAAGTTCCGGTAAATGTGAAGGCCGTCTTGTGTTGGCTCAGCAGGTAATATTAAGATAACCTCATTGTCTCCTTTCCTTCTATAGGCGTTTTTTAAAAACTTAATATTGATTGCATTATTCCTGTTATTATATGGAATAATTGGCTTCAAGTGATGCAGTAAATATTAACTCTTATAAGAGAGTAAAGTAAATTAAAAAATCAAGAAAACCTCCCTTTGAGAAATGCCTGATTGTCATAGTTGCCCCTCCTCTTTGAGATAGTTCCAATAGAAAAGACAGCGAGAAGTTCATGAGCAAAGAATAAGACAGTGAGAAGTTCCAATAGAAAAGACAGTGAGAAGTTCATGAGCAAAGAATAAGAAAACCTCCTAAAAAATGCACAATATTAAAATTAGGAAACTCACATCCTGTCATTCTGCATATTCCTGAGCACCACAAAGAAGCCAAGCTTGATTCTTTTATCTTATAAATGAGCTGACTAAAGAATCATTCTTGAAAATTCTTGCATTTCTCTGTAAATTGGTATACTGGCATACAAGTAATTGATCCGCTCTGGACAAATCCAGAAGTTTCTTATTGACACGAGCTTTCAAGGGGTATCTCATTATATTCACTTTATCTTTAAAATCTAAATATTTGTTTTTATTCTTTGGCTCAGGTAAAGTAAGCATGACTTTTATACGGATATCTTTGTTAGTAGGTTCACATCAAAAGCAGGATATGATTATACCTTATCCTATCCTTGTCCAATTCTCTTAACCTATTCTGTCTTTATCCTATTCTGACCATCAAAAGAGCCATACAGTTCTAGATGTAATTGAATACTTTTATGTCCTATTCCATATTTTAGTTGTGATTTTTCCTATGACTCTTAAAATAGAATTGTGATTTGTTTTGTTCTATAGATATGGTCAAAGTTGGGAAAGGAGACAATTCTATAAATGTATAGTCTCTTATGTTGTTTAGTAGTAGAACAGTTTAGGTGAGTTACTTACTAATACTATAGGTATAAGAGTATAATTGTTGGTATCATTTGTCCTATCAAAGAAGACAAGACAACCACTTCATTAAATAGGGGAGAGGCAACAGTTACCAGTGAAAATCACGGTAAATGATTTCGGATAGTTCTGTTGTTTAAGACGTGTCTTATATCTAACTACTACTTTATACACGTCGACATGATTGTATATTTCCTGCTACACATACTGATATATTTCTTTACCCGTTTTGGGGACTTGGCTACATTTTATGCAGTAGTATTTCCGTTCCTTTGCCTTATTTATTTATTTTAACTAGGCAACTAGCTTTCAGCCACAAATATATCAAGATGTCTATGTTGGGAAGTGGAGAAAGGTTCGCATGCTACGATCGGCCAGTGGTACTACTCCACCTATAAAGACATATTCGGATTTGCCAATACATTTCCAGAAAGGCGAGGTATCTTTTGGGGTGGGTTATGAACCAGCTTTTGCTGATGTTAGCTATGCTTTCACTGTAGCACTTCGGAGGGCTAACCTAAGTGTAAGGAATCCTGGTCCACTTATTTCGCCACCAAAAAAGGAGCGGAGTTTACCATGGTGGGATGACATGAGAAATTACATACATGGAAAAGTTTCCCTACTGTTTTCTGAATCAAGATGGAATATTTCAGCAACTACAGATCCATATGAAAAGGTTGACAAACTTCAAATTGTAAGCAGCTGTATGGAAATTCACCAGTCTGATGGTCGCGTTTTTGTTTCTGCCAAAGATTTTAAGTTTCTATTAAGTAGTTTGGAAAGTTTGGCAAATCGATGTGGTTTCAAAATTCCAACAGGAGTCTCTGGTGCATTTTTGGAAGCCCCTATCTTTACTCTTGAAGTTACAATGGACTGGGAATGTGGATCTGGAGATCCCATGAATCATTATTTATTTGCACTACCAGCTGAAGGCAAACCTCGCGAGAAAGTGTTTGATCCCTTCAGATCGACTTCTTTTTCTCTCCGATGGAACTTCTCTCTTAGACCCTTTCCTCTTTCATTAGAAAAACATTTCCCAGCTTCCTTTTCTAGAGATAATACTGAAGGAGGTGCTACTGTATTTGATCCTCCTCATGTATCTCAAAATGTTTCACGCATGTCCCCTACGTTTAACTTTGGAGCTCATGATCTTGCATGGATATTAAGATTCTGGAATTTGAACTACAATCCTCCACATAAGCTGCGGAGCTTCTCTCGTTGGCCGCGTTTTGGAGTTTCGAGAGTTGCCAGGTCAGGCAATCTTTCACTAGATAAAGTGATGACTGAATTCATGCTTCGTCTAGATGCCACCCCAGCTTCTATTAAGAACATGCCTTTAGATGATGATGATCCAGCCAAAGGACTGACTTTCACAATGACAAAACTAAAATATGAACTGTGTTATAGTAGGGGCAAGCAAAAATATACTTTTGAAAGCAAGCGTGATATTCTTGATCTTGTTTACCAGGGTCTTGACTTTCATATGCTCAAAGCTTTCATAAATAAGGAAGCCTCTGCTAGTGTTGCTAAAGTAGTTAACATGATACTGAAAAGTTCACAATCTATATCAACAGACAAAGTCACCTCTGACAAAGGTTACATGACAGAGAAAAATCGTGATGATGGGTTTCTATTGTCCTCTGATTACTTCACTATCAGAAGACAATCCTCAAAGGCCGATCCTGCCAGGTTACTAGCGTGGCAAGAAGCAGGGAGAAGAAATGTTGAGATGACATATGTACGGTCTGAGTTTGAAAATGGGAGTGAAACTGACGAACATGTGCGGTCTGACCCAAGTGATGATGATGGTTACAATGTGGTAATAGCTGACGGTTGTCAGCGTGTGTTTGTCTATGGTCTTAAGCTTTTGTGGACTATTGAAAACAGAGATGCTGTTTGGGCTTGGGTTGGTGGCCTATCCAAAGCCTTTGAGCCTCCTAAGCCTTCTCCATCTCGGCAATATGCACAGAGGAAATTACTTGAGGAAAACAAAAAGCATGATAGATCCGATTTAGGTCAAGATGATGTTTCAAAGTGTCCTGCCAATGGTAAAATTTCTAAGTCTCCCTCTTCTCAGCAAGCAGGTACGTCCGGGTCAATTTCATCTCCATCAAATTCAGTTAAGGAGGACACTTTGCTATCTGGTATGCCTTATATTCTCATTAACTTTAGTTATGCAAATTAGATTGGAGACCAGTAACACACCATAAATAGATAGTTAATTGTACCATCTGTTGCTACAAATAGTATTATTGCTTGCAAGATCATTGGATTTTTTTTTTTATTAAGCACAACTATTTCCACCAAGTTTTTTTCCCACTTTGTTTCCTCTTTTTGGTGCATTGACAGCTAAGATGGAGAACATAGATGATTCAGATGGGACTCGACACTTCATGGTGAATGTCATTGAGCCACAATTTAATCTTCACTCGGAGGATGCAAATGTAAGTTTACTAAATGTGGACATTTAAAGTAGCAGGCAGCTTTTGGGTTTTTGTTTGCCTTCAATTTTGTTTTTGATTAAATTCCTTATCATACTTTTTCATTTTATTTTCCGTATTGTCAATCAATTTACTTAGCACCTTGTTTTGTTTTGAACTTATAAATACGCTTTACTCCTAGTGGTGGTGCCCCTTCTATTTGTTAGATTTATTGTCGGTGATTATTAGTAACAATAACCGGCAATTAGTTATTTCTTTTACCTCCTTGGTGCTTCGTTTCTTTGTTTGATATTTTTATTCATTTATTGATATTCTGGACACCGCTCATGCTTTTAAAACAACCTCACTTTTTTTTGACAAACAGGGTAGGTTTCTGCTGGCTGCTGTCAGTGGCCGTGTTTTGGCTCGGTCGTTTCATTCTGTCCTTCATGTTGGTTATGAGATGATTGAGAAAGCTTTTGGTGCCACGGACGTACATATTGGTGAATACCAACCTGAAATGACATGGAAAAGAATGGAGTTCTCTGTTATGTTGGAGCACGTACAAGCTCATGTTGCACCAACAGATGTTGATCCTGGAGCTGGATTGCAGTGGCTTCCTGAAATTCTTAGAAGTTCTCCAAAAGTAATGCGTACGGGTGCTCTTCTCGAGAGAGTTTTTATGCCCTGTGATATGTATTTTAGGTACACAAGGCACAAAGGGGGCACTCCAGAACTGAAAGTGAGCTATTTTATACTTGTTGTAAACATATAAATGAATCTTTTTCCCCCTTAGTAAGTCCATATATTCCAAGATATGCAAATCTTAGAACAGGTTCTTTCTCTAGTCTTAGAATTGTGGTTGGACCTAACATATGCCATATTTCATCCAACGTGGTACTCTTTAACACATCCCATCTCGCCGAACACTATCAGGCTTGGTGCGTGAATATAAATAGTGGGTGACCCAATAACAGAAACTTGATAGCAAGTAGACCAATGGATCATGCATGAGACTCTAATACCATCTTAGAATTGCGGTTAGGCCTAACACAACCCCATAAAACTAGCTGATAAGATGATGATTGCCTCCCTTTTATAACATATGCTCAGACAATATTTCATCCAAGGTGGAAGTCTTTATCATCTTGTCAGTTAATGTCATTTCTCATGGCTATCAATACTCTATTTCAAATGTTTTATTTTAGTTTAAACATGTGTTCACTGCAGGTGAAACCTTTGAAGGAGCTCACATTCAATTCTCGTAATATAACGGCAACAATGACATCTCGCCAGTTTCAGGTCATGCTGGATGTGTTGATCAATCTTCTCTTTGCACGCCTTCCAAAGTAAGGACTAGCCTACTATCTCCTAGCATTCATTCTAAATTACTTTTTTCTTTTCAAACCCTACCTCTTTCAAACACACGTATGCTGTGATTCACTCCTAATCATAATGCTAATTATCTGGTAATGTAACGAACCAATTCATTTTTTATGTTTACAACATTGATTACTCTTTCAAAATTGATGGATTAATATGGGCATGATGGTTATTAAAAAAAGTGTACTGTGGCATAAACGACTAGTTGAACATAAGCTAGGATCACTATTGGCTTTATTGAAATAAGAGAAAAGGAAAGGCAATTGGTGAAACTGTGTGTTTGAACAGCACCACAAAAGTTTATTATATTAGGAATTACACAGTTAAGAGTATTATTTACAAAAGGAATATGCTACAAAATATTCTATTATAATTTATAAGAAGGTATTTACACAAATAACACTTCCCCTAAAAAAAAAATGGAGCATATAAATCAAATGCATCAAGTTTGCCACACATATAATTAATTTTAGACCTCGTAGGGGCTTTGTAAAAACATCTGCCAATTAATCATTAGAATTGACAAAGCTTGTGACAATGTCGCCTGATTCAATCTCTCTCTCTGACAATGTCACCTGATTCTATCTCAATATGTTTGTCCTCATGGAAAAATTGATTTTAAGCAATATGCAAATGCAACTTGATTATCACAAATAAGTGTCATTGTTCTTTCTTCTTCAAATTGAAGTTCCTTGAGCATCTGCTTCAACCAAATGAGTTCACATGTTACTAGTGCCATGACCCTATATTCTGCCTTAGAACTTGATCTTTCAACTACATAATTTCTCTTACTTTTTCAGGATATCAGGTTTCCTCCACCTATTTGGGAAATTATCAAATCATCTTTAGATTAACCTACCTCAATAGCTAACACATAGTGTAGTTTACCATGTATTTCGTTTTAAATTGATTCAAAAGATGTTATTTCAATTGGAGTATTCTTTGCTAGTCACTACTAGCTATGATCAAGGTTGTCAAACTCGCGAGTCTACTCAGACTCGTTAAGGGTCTGTAGACTCGACTCGCAAACTCGTACGAGTCTATGGAAAATTAAAAATGACATTCAAAAACCTATAATTTACACATATATAACACACTCCTGTGTTCTTAAACTTATAAATTCCTCGTATATGACACAAATCAAATAACAACACAATTTGATTTTCTTTTTCCACTTTTCAACTTTAAATTCTACATGACATAAACTAAATTATTCACCTCTTTTTGATGCAACATATTTTTTCTCTTTTTAAGAACCTAAAAAGTAAATAATAATTCAACTCAATGTTTCTAAAATATTAAAATCAAGTCTATAAACAAACAAATAATAATTCATTGCCATTTTAAAGGAATTCCAATTATATTCACAACTAGAGGAGCTATAAGTTAAGCTTAGAACACAAATTACAAACCTCTTTAATTCTATAGTGATATCTTCATAGAAAACTATTTTGTCACATGCAAATTGATACATGTGCATTGGGATCATTGGACCTGATTGGACAAACATCAAATTGAATCATATAAGAAAATACTTACATAACAAAGGATTTATTTACGTCCATGAACACGAACAAAGAAAGATACAAAACAAACTCACGCCGTTGATGAAGGGAGGAAGAAACTTTGTTGAAACAAGAGGCTATGAGAGAGAGAGACTTTCTAATTATCGTACAAGCAAAAAAAAAGAAGGTGTTTTTTAAATACAATATAATCTTTTGGGAAATTTAGGCTTTTTCTGGTTTTTAAAAAAATTCAAAACAAAACTTATTGACTCACAAACTCGTTATAGACTCGCAATTCTATACGAGTTTGTGCGAGTCTATCCGAATTTACTCGAGTCTATCAAAAAAAGGATTCTATGCACAAGTTTACTCGTTTATGCTTCCTAGAATCGTAAACTCGTACGAGTTTACGAGTCTACCCGCGAGTTTGACAACCATGGTTATGACAATATCACCAGAAGACAGTTGGTCAATCGGGAAAGCACAACGAAGTCTCAATAGGCTCTATGTACCATATTGAAATAAGAGAAAACGAGAGACATTTGCTGAAACCGTGTGTTTGAATAGCACCATGGAAACTCTATCATATAGGGAATTGCATAGTTTAGAGTATTAACTAAAAAGTAAATATGCTAAGGTAAGAATATATTTTCAAATATCAACTGGCTTCTTTTAAGAAGTTTAACTCGCAGAAATTTCATTTGTGACTGATTTTTTAGTTACTTTATTTGGATAGAACAATATGCTGTATTGTAGGTATAGTTATTTGGTATAGTGAAGCGGAAGCCTTCCATTCGCATATACCTCTGTTTATTATTGACTCTTAACTTCTTTATTGCAGATGACTTGAAATAGTGGTTAGATTTTATCAATGCTCGAGTAGTTTTCTTTTTAGGTCTACTCTTTTCATTAATTGTGTGAAAATAATTATATCAATGTGTTTTACATTGATATGATATTTTTTTTTTTTTTTTTTTTTTGCTTTCAAGTAACTTAAATGAAACCCATTATATTCTTTGATATATGATGAGTTCTTCCGAGTAAATGTGTATTGTACTCAACTCAGGCCTCGAAAAAGTAGCCTGTCCTTTCCGGCCGAAGATGATGATGATGTTGAAGAAGAAGCAGATGAGGTGGTTCCTGATGGTGTTGAAGAGGTGGAGCTTGCAAAAATTAATCTTGAAAAAAGACAAAGGGAACAAAAGTTGATTCTTGATGATATTCGAAAATTGTCTCTTTGGTGTGACTCTTCTGGAGATGTACATGCTGAAAAGGAAAGTGACTCGTGGATGATAACTGGTGGAAGATCTATGCTGGTAAGAAATGAACCTGATCAACAATCTTCTAACTGACTTGAAAGTCTTAGTCAAATTATAGTTGGTTAATGTTAAAACTTCCAGCTCTTCTATACAAAAAAACGAAATCAATTATGTACTGTGCTTAGTGATAATTTTGTGCTTGTAGTACTTAAAATATTAGTACCACGTTGATAGACTTATTAGCTGTGAATGGTAAACTCATGATAAAAAATGGTGTTTTTTTTTCTTCATATTTTAACATAGGAAAGGCATGCACTATGTAAGCAATAAAAAGTAACCTTATTTTGCACACAAACATTAAAGATTCCATGATTTGTGTTTGAATGGTCCTGATGTTAATGATAAGTCCAAGCTTATTAAACATGAGAATCTATGCACACTTGTAGATGTTTCGGAGATTTGACTTGTAATCTCTACTAGTGAACTCAGTGGTAAGAGTTTACCTAGCATACTAATAATACTAAGTGTTAAGAGTCCCACATCGGACAATATATGGCATGAACATGTGTTTATAAGTGGGAGCAATCCTCACTCTACTAACCGGTTTTGTAGGGTTGAGTTAGGCTCAACCACATTTCTTAACATGGTATCAGAGCCTCGTTTAAGATCCGGTGGGCCACCTTCTATGGTTTCCGCTATCGGGCCACCCACCATTTATTTCCACGCTTCAGTTGTCCAGTCCTGAGCGTGAGGGGGTGTGTTAAGAGTCCCACATCGGACAATATATGGCATGAACATGTGTTTATAAGTGGGAGCAATCCTCACTCTACTAACCGGTTTTGTAGGGTTGAGTTAGGCCCAACCACATTTCTTAACACTAAGAAAGACTATAAATGTACATTGCATAATACAATTCCATCAACACAATATTCATTCAACATTCCCTCCATAAAGGACTTTCTTTTAGAGAAACCATGAAATGTATAGTCTATGTAATTCCTACTACTTACTCCCTTTTGTTCTTTATCCCAACACAATGCCATAAGTTGGCCCCTGCTTTTCTCATCAAAGATTGCTTTCAATTCACATTCAGTACATGGATCCCCTGTTTCATGAAAGAGTTAGTTTTTAGGTATATCCTATGCTTGGGATTGATATTACTGAGCTGAACTTGTTCTATGTTATGGTTTTTTGCAGTTCTTTATTGTCAGTAAGTCCCATGTCTTTCAATTTTTTTTGAAGACTGAACTGGTCAATGAACTAGAAAAGGTATTAGTTCAGAAGTTGGGCTATAGTTACTGCTATAAAATTACACCCATATACAGAGTTATATATAATGCTAATATATTTGGTGTTTTAATAGAACTTTTGGAATTTTGGATTCGACCTTCTCAACCTTACAAAACCGGTTGGTAAGGTGATGATTGTCCCCATTTATGAACCTAAGTTCTGGCCATATCTCTGATAGGTCTGTTATTGTTAGTTAAGAAGTTGTTACTTGTTAGTTAAATAGTTGTTTAGTTAGTTAATTAGTTAATGGGTAGTTATTAGCTATGTTAGAGGTAGTTAGGGCAAATAAGGCATGTTGCCTATAAATAAAAAGGAGAATTAGAGAGGGAACTGTCTTATCGTTTGAGAGGAATATGACCTTTTGGCATTTGGAAGTAGGTAGACCTTCGGAGTGATGCCATTGCTTATAATCAAAGGGGATTCTTCCCCATTTTCAGTAATAATATACCATTTAGTTCTATCCATTGGTATAAGAATTGGTTAGTTGATAGGTCTATTATTGTTAGTTAACGGGTAGTTAGTAGGTTTGTTGAAAGGTAGTTACGTCAAATAAGGCATGCGTTGCCGCCTATAAATAGAGAGGAGGATGGGAAGGATATTGCATAGTTTTTTTTTTTGTTGATTCACAAGATATTGCGTTACTCATTAGCATAGTACTAGCTCCTAAGCTTTCACAATTTTTTTTTATTACTTTTGATATAATTATGTCATTATTCTATAACACCCTTAACTATTTACTATTATCTCATTCTACATATTTCTCTTTGCCATAAATACTATGGGTATTATAATTATAGACAACAATAATTAATGTTGCATTAATCTTTGAAAATGGCAAATATATAAAAATAATTTAGTGATACAGCGACAAGTAATGAGGAATGAAAGGAGTATATTAATAAGGATAGTTTACTCACAAAGCTCATTTTATCTTGAAAGTTAGTATACTCAATGATTTTCTTAAGTGTGCATAACCTTACATGCCACTTAATGAGACGGAGGGAGTAATTTTGAGATGTATTTTGTATTTGTATGCATATTTCAATATATGACAAATGTTCATGCCTAATTAAATACCGGCAGGTCCAAGGATTGAAGAGAGACCTATTAAGTGCACAAAAATCTAGAAAGGCAGCATCTGTAGCACTAAGGCTAGCTCTTCAAAAAGCTGCGCAGCTAAGGTTGACAGAGAAGGAGAAGAACAAAAGTCCTTCATATGCTATGCGGATATCTCTGCAAATTAATAAAGTTGTTTGGAGCATGCTTGTTGATGGTAAATCCTTTGCTGAAGCCGAGATCAATGACATGGTAAGATTTATGTAGCAAGCTTGTTGTCTCACTTTTCTCAGACGTTTACTTCCAAAACTGGCAGGGTCCATTGCAAAATTGCTTCACAGAAAGTATAAACTGTCGTCTCTGTCAAAGTCTACTCTTGAAATATATGTCCTAAAAATTTCTCGTATTAGTGGTTAAATTTTGTACATGGTCTACATCTATACAAAATTGATGTGTTTCTTTTACGTTAGCAAGCCATTCAATGTCTTAACCTGACTACCATTGGGACCAAGGGAAAAATCACATCAGTCTTATTTAGTTTTTCTTTCTTGACAAGATTCAAATGTATGAGAATGGTGGTTCCTTGCTAGCTTAGTTTTGCAACTTTCCGATTCTTTTTCTTTTGGTCTCAATTTGCAAGAGTATGCTAATTCAGTTTAGTTTTTGCCAACACATAGATATATGATTTCGACCGGGATTACAAGGATGTCGGTGTTGCTCAGTTTACGACAAAATATTTTGTTGTCAGAAACTGCCTGCCTAATGCCAAGTCTGATATGCTTTTGTCAGCATGGAATCCTCCGTCTGAATGGGGAAAGTATGTCACTCTTCCTGGACTTTTTTAGTTTATTGGTGCTTACAGTTCAATGCTTTGATATTTGTTGATTTTCTGTTCCAAGTGTTTTAATGATTAGAGAGGAGTTAGGTTACTTTGTGATTATGTTTGGAATTTATGTTTACAACAACAACCAAGTCCTATCCCACTAAGTGGGGTCGACTACAAAGATCAACTTTTGCCATAATGTTCTATCCAGGACCATGCTTCTATCCAAATCGTTAATCTCAGAATCTTAGTAACTTCTCTTATAGTCTTTCTAGGCCTTCCTCTTCCTCTAGTTTACTATGTACATTATTTTTTAGTCCTCACAATAGCGGTCATTACGCTATCCTCTATGCCGCTACAACATTTTGGGGGTTCGGCGTTATGCATCGCTATCCGCAATCAACAACCTAGTATTGCATCCTATTGCACTAAGACTCCTCTTCATTCATATCCACATTTTATTTTGAAAAATTTCTATGCATTTTGTTAGGGGTGAGCAGCTGCGTGCTTGGTCCTGCTGTATTTGTGTTCCTTATTGCAAGTGTCAAATGCTTAACTGCTTTCTTTTTAATGATTATTTTTCCAGAAAAGTGATGCTTCGGGTTGATGCACAACAGGGAGCTCCAAGAGATGGAAATTCTTCTCTTGAACTTTTCCAGGTAATTTATTCTGGGTTCCTTTTCTAATTTGTGTTTTTTCCTTTCTTGATTTTTTGGGTGGTATTTAGTTAAAGATAGGGCCATTTGGTCATACCGTAGTAGAGTTATCTCATGTATACCTACTCCAAAAATAAATAATATTGTCTAGTTAGTTTCACGAAGGTTTTGCACTGATTCTCTGCCTAAACTAAGGATTTGAAATTTTAAGACTACATTCCTATAGGTGTGGAATTGATGTCTGTTAACATCAAGTGGCCCATTTAAATGTTATCAACAGCAGTATATCATAAACATGCCTAAATTACACCTTTCTTTGAAAAAAATATATTATTTTGTGAATTTCACATTTGTAGCATACATTTAATTGCAATGAAAATATAAAATGTGAATATCAAGGAGCTAGATAAATGGAAATGTTATATCTCCATTTTGCGAATTTTTCTACAAAATATAGAACTATGCCCTTTTATTCTAAAAAGTTTAGAAGATATAAGAGAGACATGTCTTTTCGGTAGGCATGGCAATGGGAACCGACCTCGTGGGTACCCACAACAACCCATCTAAGTTTGAACGGGAAAACACACTTTGATCCTTGTAAATTTTCTTTTCTTCCATTTGAGTCTCAGTCAAATCCATTTAGAGTGCCCTGTTTTAGTCCATGTCATCAATATCCGGATGCTATATGTTGATGTGTAAAATTTTCTTTTCCACCCTGATTAGTTCTACCTAACCATGCACCTCTTCTCAAAGTTTACTCCAACAAAGTCTCTCCGCCACTTACATGCTTGCTTGATATTCACATTGGCACTCCTCAAAATTCACTTATCCAATTCATGGATGCAATTCTTAGCCTTACACCAAAAAGAAAAACTAAATGCACACCAGAAAAAAACTCATCAATCTTCCCTACTAATTGTACAGCTGTATAAGTTCCCCATTGCACAATTAATAACTACTAAAAATCTGTATTACCATATAATTCACATATTAACAATTATGCCCTGTTACTTTCTTATATCTCCCAAGTACACATGCTATATTTTAAGCTTGTTTTTTCATGATTCAGAACATGGCCTATATCTTAAGCTTGTTTTTTCATGATTCAGAACATGGCCTACATTTTGATTCAGAACATGGCCTACATTTTGCCTATATTTTAAACTAATGTGAAAATACTTTCAACCATAGGTAGAGATTTATCCCCTTAAGATCCATTTAACAGAGACGATGTACAGAATGATGTGGGAGTATTTCTTTCCAGAAGAAGAACAAGATTCCCAACGGAGGCAGGTTAGTTTAGGATTAGAAATCCTTATTACCTCGTCTGTTAAAACCAAGGTTAAAATTGCAGATACATTTGGTCAAACGTTATACTGGGGTTATTTATACAGGAAGTTTGGAAGGTTTCTACCACTGCTGGTGCAAGGCGTGTAAAGAAAACATCGCTCCTTGAAGGTTCTGCTTCGAGTAGTCACTCAGTAAAAGAGACCGAGGCCTCATCTAAATCTGGCATATCTGCAATGCTATTTCCTGCAACAAGTCAGCTTCCTGTCCACGCTGTATCAGCTCAAGTAAGCATTTGATTATTTGTCAACTACACGGCTCTGTTATTAAATTACTAATAATATAGAGGATAATATGAAAGGCAGCATTGGTGGGAGAGGTAGAGAAGAATACAGTTTTGTTCTTCTGTTCTCCCAATTTATATTAATTTTAGATGTTAGCTAGATTTCCATAAGGAGTTTTTGTTACCTGCCTGCAGATAACCAAAGTGCAAAGTGCCAAAGAAAACCCTAGTACTAGTATAACCCCTGAGTTGAGAAGGACATCATCTTTTGACCGAAGTTGGGAAGAGACTGTTGCCGAATCTGTAGCTAATGAACTTGTTTTGCAAAGTTTCTCTTCCTCAAAAGATGTTCCATGTAGTTCTGCCGAGCAACAAGATGAAGCCAAGAATAAATCAAAAGATTCCAAAGGTGTTAAAGGTGGCCGCTCATCTCATGAAGAAAAAAAGGTGGCTAAGTCACATGAAGAGAAGAGATCAAGGCCACGGAAAATGATGGAGTTTCACAACATCAAAATTAGCCAGGTTAGTGGTTTCGGGCTTTTGGTAAAGCTGTTGTCTATCTTCACTTATGATTCACTTATGATGCAACATTTCAAATTTCTGCTAAACACAGTGCATTATTTCTTGCAGGTGGAATTATTGGTTACATATGAAGGACAGAGGATTGTTGTAAATGATCTCAAGTTACTTATGGATCAATTTCACCGGCCGGAGTTTACTGGGACTTGGCGAAAACTCTTTTCCAGAGTTAAGAAGCACATCATCTGGGGGGTCCTGAAGTCTGTGACTGGAATGCAGGTGATGAGTGACTTACAGTTATACTGGTGTTTTCCTTTGAACTCAGACAACCTATTTATACCTACCGCTGCAAATTTATGAGTGTTTTCTTTTGGATCATGTATTCAATGTCTAGATCTATTTGGTGGCTACTTTTAACTGTTTCTCTACCGAAGTCCCTTACATATTTTACCTATTCTTTGGATCACGCAGGGTCGGAAATTTAAAGATAAAGGTCAGAGTCAGCCTACAGGAGCTGGTGTTCCTGAAATCGACCTCAATTTTAGTGACAATGAAGGCCAAGGAGGAAAGTCTGATCAATATCCGCCATCTTGGCCCAAGCGTCCAGGTGATGGTGCAGGTGATGGATTTGTGACATCTATTAGAGGACTATTCAGTACTCAGCGTCGCAAGGCAAAGGCATTTGTGCTCCGAACTATGAGGGGTGAAGCAGAAAATGATTTTCCAGGTGATTGGAGTGAAAGCGATATGGAATTCTCTCCTTTTGCTAGGCAGCTGACCATTACAAAAGCTAAAAAACTTATTAGGAGGCACACTAAGAAGTTCCGCTCCAGAGGACAAAAAGGTTTGCTAAATTGTTACTTTTCTGATATTGCTTTTGCATTTATGATTGCTTAATATTTATTCAATTTGTGAAACTTTGTTTTTTTTTTTAAATTTTTGGCTAAAAGAACAATATATTACTGGAAAGAAAGGAGAGTACATGTATGGCCAGAAGTTATTTTTAACATACAGCACGGCAATTAGAGTGCAGCTAAATTGTCTTCTAAATCTGTAAATATACCAATAACATATCTTCTTCAAGTAAATGCACCAAATGATTTTTTTTTTTATGTAAAAAATTTAGTGAGGGGATATACCTGTGTCCAAGGTAAGGAAGCCCTTAGGGTTCAAAGAGCACCTACAAAGGGATTTACTTTTACCTCCCTCCAATGATACTAGCAGTGCTCGAACTTGGAACCACCAGATCCAAAGTCTAAAACAGCCCATAAATTCAGATATTTTTTACTTTTTCTCTAAATCTTATATTGGAAGAAATAGATAAAAACTATTGTAATTTTATTCCTTAGGCAAAAGCTGGTTTATATAATGAGAATACAATAAAAATACTTAATTCTCTCCTTAATGAAGAATAAAAAAAAATAATGACAATAAACGTAAACAATTAAATATGAAAATAAAATATTTTTCAACACCCCCCTCAAGTTGGTGCATAGATGTCTATCATGTCCAACTTGTCTATCAAATGCTCAAAGGTAGGTCTTGCCAAACTTTTGGTGAGGATATCCGCAGTTTGCTGACTTGAAGTCGCGTAAGGTACACATATGATTCCAGCATCTAACTTCTCCTTTATGAAGTGTTGATCAATTTCAATATGCTTGGTTCTGTCATGTTGAACTGGATTATGAGCTATGCTAATAGCAGCTTTACTGTCAGAGTACAATTTCAATGGAAGCTTAACTTTCATCTTAAGTTCTTCTAAGACTCTAAGGATCCATAATCCTTCACAAATACCTTAAGACATAGCTCTAAACTCGGCTTCTGCACTACTCCTTGCTACAACGCCTTGCTTCTTGTTCCTCCATGTCACAAGATTACCCCAAGCATAGATACAGTTCCAGAGGTTGATCTTCTATCGGTGACTGAACCTGCCCAATCAGTATCGGTGAAGATAGACACATTCCTTTCACTAGTTTTCTTAAAAAATAATCTTTTTTCAAGATTTTCCTTTAGATAGCTCAGTATCCTATAGACTGCCTCAAGATGTTCTTCAAAAGGAGAATGCATAAACTGACTCACTGCACTGACTGAGAAAGCACTATCAGGTCGGGTGTGTGACAAATAAATCAGTTTTCCAACCAATCTCTGATATCTTCCAGTATCAACAGGAACATTACCTTCTCCTCAAAGTTTAGCATTAGGATCCATAGGGGTATCTGCAGGACGACATCCACTCATTCCTGTTTCTTTCAATAAGTTTAGAATGTATTTCTGCTGTGAAACCACAATACCATTCTTTGACCGAGCAACCTCCATGCCTAGAAAATACCTCATGAATCCAAAATCCTTGATTTCAAAGTCTACTGCCAATTTCTCTTTTACCCTTGCCATTTTCACTGTATCGTCTCCAGTAAGGATAATATCATCAACATAAACAATTAGAACAACAACTTTCCCATCGTTGGAGAGTTTTGTGAACAAGGTGTGGTCAGCCTGTCCTTGAATGTACCCTTGATTCTTCATGGACTTAGTGAATTTTTCAAACCAAACTCTGGGAGACTGCTTTAATCCATACAAAGACTTATTTAGTTTGCATACATTTGATCCAAATTTGTTTTCAAAACCAGGAGGAATGCCCATATATACTTCTTCTTCTAGATCACCATTAAGAAAGACATTCTTAACATCTAACTGATGTAGGGGCCAATCCAGGTTAGCAGCAAGAGATAAAAGAATGCTTATAGTGTTCAATTTTGCAATAGGAGCAAATGTCTCTGAGTAGTCTATACCATCGGTCTAGTGTAGCGTTTAGCCACCAAGCGAGCCTTGTACCTTTCAATTGACCCATCTGAATTATACTTCATAGTGAACACCCATTTGCATCTAATTGTCTTCTTGCCATCTAGTAGCGACGTAACACTCCAAATTTTGTTCTTTTCAAGAGCTTTCATCTCCTCAAGTACAACTTCCCTCCACTTTGGAATTTCTAAAGCAACCTGTACACTTTTTAGAATTTGTACACTAGACAATTTTGAGGTGAAGGCAGACATAAATGAAGATAAATTTGAATATGAAATAAAATTGGACATGAGGTGTTTAGTGCAAGATCTGACAGGTTTTCTAATGGCAACATGATCATCTATATCAGGTTACAAAATACGACTCTCAGAAACAGAGATAGACTTACCTTTCCTTTTATTAGGAGGTTGATCATTCTCCAGTTCAGATTCCTGGCAGTGTTGAGATGTAGACTCGTTCCTTCGTTTATGGTGTTTTTTTTACAAAAATCTTCCCTTTCCAAGTTCTGTTTCCTAATTCAAATCTGTTTTCTTGAAGTGATTCATTATTTTGTGGCATTTCAATTAGATCATCATTATCATCATTTTCAGGATTCTCATTGTTTTGTACTAGAGAAAGTGTAGGCTCGGATTCACAAGGCTCCTTACTCATAACAGGAGTAGGATCAGATACTGAATCAATACTATTTTCTGTTGGTGCAGATGTAAAAGTCTTAGAATTTTGTGGTGCAGGCAAAGATAAATTTTTCAAAAAACTCGTGTCCTCAATTTGAAACGAGTCTTCCTTTATCTCCTCCCCTTGAAGATGAATGTCATCAAAGAAAAGTTTATTTTCAAAAAATGTAACATCCATAGTGACAAACATTTTTTTATTTTTTGGATCGAAACATTTATATCCTTTTTGGGTTGAGGAGTATCCAACAAAAACACATTTTATAACACGTGGCTCAAATTTTCCAACATTTCTATGTTCATGAACAAAAGTTGTGCAACCAAAGATTTTTAAAGTCAAATCAGTTAAAACACGAGTACTAGGAAAATATTCTTTGAAGAGATTAATTGGAGTTTGAAAATTGAGAATTTTGGAGGGCATTCAGTTAATTAAATACGCAGCTGTTAAAACAGCTTCGTCCCACAAATAATTTGGTACTTTATTCGAAAAAAGTAGAGCTCTAGCAACTTCCAATAAATGTCTATTTTTCCTTTCAGCCACTCCATTTTGTTGAGGAGTATTAGGACATGAACTTTGATGTATAGTCCCATTTTTTAGAAAAGAATCATCCAGGATAGTGTTAAAATATTCTTTGCCATAATCACTTCTAAAAACTTGAGTATTTGTTTGAAATTGGTTCTGCACCATTGAAAAAAAATTCTTTACAGCCTGGTAAACATCTGATTTCCCCTTTAACAAGTACACCCAACATACTCTTGTATGGTCATCTATAAATGTGATTTCCCTCAAGGTCAATATCCCTAAACTGAATGAGAATAACTATAATGAATGGGCTCAAACCGTTCGGTTGGTGTTGGATAGCAAAGGGGAACTTGGTTTCTTAACAGCAGTAGCTGAACCGGCATCAGGAGATCCTCGTTACAAACAATGGAAATCTGAAAACCAATTTGATTGTTGCGTGGCTGGTAAGCTCCATGGAAACTGGAATAGGTAAGCTTTACATGTTTTTGCCTTCCGCAAGGGATGTGTGGGAAGCTGTTAAGGAAACATACTCTGATATTCAAAACTCCTCCCAAATTTTTGGTTTAAAAAATCAAAGTTATGGCATGCGAAACAAGGTGACAGGAGTGTAACTGTTTATTACAATGAGCTGTTGACACAGTGACAAGAGTTGAATCTTTGTTTTGACGACAATTGGAGGTGTACAAAAGACATTGTTTTGTTTCTCAAGAGGCAAGAAAATGATCGTGTATTCATGTTTTTCGCTGGACTCAAAAAAGACCTTGATGAGGTAAGAGGTAGAGTTTTAGAAAAAATACCATTGCTAACTCTTCGTGAAACTTTTGCAAAAAATAAGAAGGGAGGAGGCACGACAAGGAATTATGATGGATAGGACACCACAAAGCTCTGAATCTAAAGGTTCAGCTCTGGCTACTAGGAACCTTGACGAGGGAAGAAGGTCAGATAAAGTTCCTTGGTGTGATCACTGCAAGCACGAATGACATACCCGTGAAACCTGTTGGAAGCTCAAAGGCAAACCTCCGAACTGTAAGAAGAAAGGTGGTCGTGCATTTCAGGCTAGTAATTCTGATCAAGGGCAGCAATTCCCCACAACTCAGCTTCCATTTACTACGGAACAACTAGAAAAACTGTACAAACTCCTCGAGTCTCCAATAAGATATGGTAGATATTACCCATTAAAATTAGTTGCTTTACCCATTATGCAACAAACGGGCTACTGTTCCCAAACTATTACTCATGTAAGGAAAGAGACGTCTTTGGTCTACAACACAAGTGCTCGGAACACTCTTTTTAACATTTTTATTGGATGAAACACATATGAGTCTCTGACTTTTGAAATAGGTCCCACGTAAAGTGGTAGGACCCACATGTGTTTTATCCAATAAAAAGGTGAGGGTTAGAGAGTGTTTTTAGCACTCCTCATATATTACATGTCAATTGTATTAATCCTATTAATCCTAGTAAGGAAGGCTCAACATTGGAGTGAGTTTCAAACTTCCAAAGAGTATTTGTCACGGTCTGATGATAGGACAGCAAGCGACTCTACTAAGGACTTTTGAGAAAAGAAATACAACAACCGTCTTTTTCCACTAGTAACACACATGAAAATTTCTAGTTATCCAAAGTAAAACAATGAGTTCTTTATTCACTGGTTTCTGCATTACTTGATTGGATTTAAAGTTTAAATTTTGGTGCTAATTTTTAGTGTAAATAAAACTAGTATATTATGTTTGTGATGCTGTATTCATTTTGGTCTTCTACCTTTATTTTTTTTTACTTAGTTATTTGAATAACCTAACATTATGATTATACTTACTTTTATTAATCTATACTTTATGAGTATGACAAACTCACATTAGCTTTTTCAACGATTGTATGTGCCCCGGGCTTGCAAAGTTAGCCAATCAAATTATAGAGTTCAGTGACATTTCTTTCAAAGTTGGCCAACATATTTGTTTTGATATTTGACTTCCTTATCTGATTTATTCATTCTGGTCAAATCTTATCATGTTCTCTTGATTACTTGAGCATCAAGTTTCAATCTCTTGCAGGTTCATCTTCCCAACAAAGAGAATCGTTACCATCATCTCCAAGAGAGACAACCACATTTGACAGTGATTCTTCTAGCGGATCCTCACCATATGAAGATTTTCACGAATAGAAATGTTCATAGTTATCAAAGGATTTCATACTTTTCAATCATGATACACATTTGATCTAGTTCTTACATGCTCCAAAGGATACGCCAATGTGTGAGATGATTTCTCTCTGTTAAGAGCCGCAGTTGAAAACTGCAATATGTACATCTTGAACCGAGGGGCACCTGGAATGGAAACAGAAATACATGACTGATGTCTGTTGCCATCAAATGTGTATATTCGTGGCGACCTAGTCAGACTCTAGTCATCGGTGATAAAGAGCCTTTCATCTGACATTTCCCATTCCACATAAACCACACATCTAATGTTTTATACCTTAACAACTTCAGTATCAATGATCAAAGACCTTGCGGTCGTCTCTTTGCTCGCCCAAGTCACATCCAGGTTGTATATTCTTGTAGATTCTTGTCAGTTCAATTTTGACTTAATTAATTAGATAATAATATGCTAAAGGTTGACAAGATTATGTATAGACATTTGATCATATTTTGATAAAATAGAATAAAATCTATATTTTTATTTTGCAAATCGACATCCTTATATAGACTAGTGCTCTTTTAAATGCTACTTTCAATGAGTAGGTTTGAAATTCATCGCCAGATTGTATATTAAGATTTGTTTTTAGATAAAGCCATACAACTATAGATGATTTGCAATGTTACTCGTGAGTTTCCTCTGCTTAATCACGGTCGTACGAGTTTGCAAAGGCTAAGCTAAGTTTGTTCTTTATAACAAATTGTGTTGAAATGTGAGTTGTTGAATTGGTGGTAATAAAAGGATTGTTATGTTGGTATTTATAAGATATTTCGATTTTTTTTAAACAAAAAAATAGTATATTTCAGAAAAACAAACAAAATCGCTCGGATCCAGCCTAACAAACTGAACAAAGGGACCAACCAAACTTACATCAACAACTTTGCTAATGTGGACTCTAAGCTTTGGTCTCATCCACCCTCTACAAATTATATTATCAATTATATTTCTATAAACTATATTATCAATTATATTTTTAGTTACATTTGTGTTATCCATATTATTTGCAAAATACACCGTATTCCTATTTCTGGTGTGACTCGTAATCTACTTTAATTACTCCATCGAAATCTGAGGCCTATGATATATTCCAGCCAATTGAGAACTTCAAGACAAAACACCTAAACCAAACACCTTGAGTGTATCTGCAACAAATAATAGGTGATCAATTGTTTCTTCATCTTCACTGCATAGGTTGCAGTGGTTTGTCTGCAGCATGCGAAGCTTCATCAATCTGGCTTTAGTTGCCAGTCGACCATGACACGCTAGCCAAAGAATAAGAATATCTCTGGGCCGAGTAAAATGCTTCAGAATGTGACTCTAGTATGGTCATCTATCAAATTCATGTAAACTGCCTTCATGAAGAATTTCTTCTTTATCAATAAACCATCCCATAATTGCTGCACTTGATTGACATTATCTCTTCTACTCATAATGTTTCTCATGATCCACAAGCTAGTTTTGTATATGTTGGCTGATATCACTTCCTTCCTTTTGAGATAGTGAATATGGACCTATTTGACCCACAAATCATCATATTTCATGCAAATATTCCAAAGACACTTCACCATTGCCACAATGTTTATAACTTCTAGATTTATCACATTGAAGCCGCCTTGATTAATGGGACTGCAAGCCTTCTTCTAAGACAGGACTCTTTCTACTTATCTCAGAGCTACCTGTTCAAATAAAAGATCCACATATGAAATATTTTATAATAAATAATTTAGTATTTTTAATTTAGAAAATGTTTTTCAATAAAGATAGTAATTTTAGTTGATAGAATCTTTCAAAATATTTTATGTTAAATTGTTGAATGGTGGAAATCAAAGTTGTTAATTTAAAAAAATGTTTTTCCAACCAAATAATAATATTTTTAATTGATATAATGTTTTTTTTTTTTGTTAGGAGCAAGCTAATTAAAACTAGATCGGATAGTTAATCAATATGTTTAGAGACTCAACGTTTAAAAGGTTAGATATGGATTTCACTCGAGTTTAAAAGATCTTCATCATGATAACTTACTCCTTTATTTAGGTCCACAGTACCCCAACTAAGGTCGCCTCTCTCCCTTACTCCTAACCCCATACCCTTAATTAAGGACACCACACAACTACACCTCACAGAAAATACCAAAGCGACTGAATAATTTAAATGGGGTGTTACAACTCTCCCCCACTTAATATTTTCGTCCTCGAAAATGTACCTGATGAGAACGGTTCCGGATACGACTCTCGCATCTTACTCTCAAGCCAATTCATTCCTAAAATAACATCCAACTCGCGGAGTGGTAAACAAATCAAGTTCCCTCCCAAAATCCTTACCAAAGATCGACACTGGACAATCCAAACACACATATGACTATAAACATTCTATAGTCAGACTCTACTTAACACTGGCCGGACGAACCAACCTGCTCTGATACCAATTGTAACACCCCACTTTACCCCGTACGCGTAATATAATAAATATAGAAAAAATAATTCATAAAATTCATCAGAGTTCTCCAACACAGTGGGATATCACACTAAGTCACTTCATTTCATTAAAATAATCAATATTATTTAGTTTTCAAGTAAGCAGCGGAATACAAATCAATTCTCCAATATAATTCTCCTCAACATGAGGTTATACAACATAAATCCAACAAATAAAGATACATAACAATAAACAAATAAAGTAGTCAAATAACAACGTAACCCCGTCATTCCATGTTACGTATCAGAGCGACTCCTGAGACTCGATCAAATAGCAACACACTCCAAGCACTACTCAGGTACCCGGTCACCTGTACTCCCAAGAGAGCACAAACACAACAACAAAAAGGGGTGAGAACTACATTCAATAAATAAACGGTGAAATACAGATGCTAAGGAGTAGTTACACACCACACATAAAATAAGCACAATTAACGCACATACACGTGCCACCTCAATCACTTGGCATTCATAGCCCACATTCAATTATAATAATGCAATGCGACTCACTGACTCGACACAATGCATGTGGTACCAACACAATCTCATACGGTTCACACTAGAACCCGATTCCCGTCGGAATCCGGATAAGTCGTATATACGTTCCTCTGAACTACAACTAAATCTCCACAACAACTTCCACAATGAAGTCCGGATGAAACTAGGCACCCATCATGGATTCCCACCTAGCCATCTCCACAAGACACATGATATGAAATGCATGTCAACACAATTATGCAATGTAATACATCATGCATAATTCACGATCAATCTTGATCCACACGAGCCATCCGCTCACCGTAATCCTCTCGGGAATTACCACAATCGCACAAGATTGTCCACATTCGACCATCTTGGCCCACATCTATCAAAACACCAAGACATCATTGAACCAGAACATGATTCGTTACTAAAACATATACACAATTGACTTCTCAAACATAATTAGATATAAAATATTGGGAAAACAATTCCATTATCTATCTTATGTTATAGCTCTATTCATTAGATTTCCAACACTTCGAACGGGGATCAAAACGGACTTACGGATCCAAAGTTACGTCCAAAACAATTTCGACCGAAAACATGAACATCCGTGACGGACAGAAAGACGCTGTTACGCTCCGGAACTGATATTCACCCAATTATTCTTGCGAATCACTTACTCAAAACACCCAAAACATCACTAAAACATTCCTAAGGTTATACGGCAATAACGGCACAACTTCTATGGTTTATTATGCTCATCTGTCAACATTTGCAATACATAAAACACTATTTCCTGCAATTGCTCTGAGTACTTCAGAGTTACTCACATTTGAATATTCTTATTCCTATAAGGACAACATATCACAATTTTTCCTTCAATTACACCCTACGGCATTTAAGTTACTTACTATCTAATATTTAACCTTTCAGGGTCAGACATATAACAATGTCAAGGTTCTGGTCACGAAGGTTCAATTTCTCATAAGTTTTTCCTATATTAATATTCAATGATACATATCATTTGGCCATTTGGCCATAACCTCAGATTCCTACGGTTACCTCCCTATTTTCCCACAATTAACCCAAATCCCTAAACCTTAGGGAAACCTTAGAGCATCGTACTAATAACGATATAACACATTCATTTCTACATATTTGCCCAAATCCCTAAAAGTTCAGATTTCCAGATCTACTACTCACTAGTATTCTATGACAACATCAAAGATTTCTCACACGAATTCCATATTAATTCTTGTTTCAAATACACAAAACATCATACAATAACAGAAAATTTGAGAACAAATCAAGTTACGAAAATTAGATTCAAGGATCCTCAAGAACACATAATTCATATGAGAGAAAGGACCTCTCACTACCCTCTCATGTTAATTCACCCATATTGAAATCCATTCTCCCCCTTACCTTAGAATTGAGCTTTTCCTTGATCAACAATGGAGAATTTGGTTCCTCTGCCCTAGCTCTCCTTGTTCGTCAGTTTCTCTTTTTCTCCCAAAACCTTTCTCTGGCATTTTATCGTGTTCTAATTCTCTTTCCCCCAAAAAACTTCTCTATTTCCTTTAATCCCTTATTTCTTATTTTATTATTTAAATCATATAATAATAATAATAATAATACTAATATTATTCTCCCACTAATAATAATATTCATACTAATAGTAATAATATGAATAATAATAATATTCCACCAAATAATATTATTAATACGAATAATAATAATAATAATAATAATAATAATAATAATAATAATAATAATCTCATTAACATTATTATTAATAATAGTTGGAATAATATTAATCACTATAATGCTCTCGATATCATAATTAACTTACTCCTTTATCTAGGTCCACAGTACCCCAACTAAGGTCACCTCTCTCCCTTACTCCTAACCTAATACCCTTAATTAAGGACACCACACAACTACACCTCACATAAAATACCAAAGCGACTGAATAATTTAAATGGGGTGTTATATTTTCCACCATC